CAGACAGAGCGAGCAAGGGCAGCGGCCGCAGCGGACTCACGCTCAGCGGACGAGGGATCAGGAGACAGTGCAGCGGGGGGGGTCAGGGCAAGGGAGAGTACTGTCAAGATGGACAGACAGCGAGTGGCCATCCTTCCGCTGACCAGTGAGATGGGCGACAGAGGTCAGCAAGCCACGCATCAAACTCAATCGGCTGGCCCTCAGCGTCAAAGCGAAGCACCTCCGCCATCAGTGACAATAGAGGGCAGTGGAGAGCAGTACAGTGCGGTGCAGTGCGGCGCAGTGCAGTACAGTGCGGTGCGGCATGGTGCAGTGCGATGTAGTGCGGTGCAGTGCGGTACAGTGCGGTGCAGTGCGGTACAGTGCGGTACAGTGCGGTGCAGTGCGGTGCAAGGCGGTTTAGTACGGTACCGGGGGTTCGCAGGGTGCGGATCGGCGAATAGAGCCGGCCGCGACAGCGGCCAGGGACAGCCGCGACGGCAGCTAGGGCGGCCGCGACGGCGGGAGCGACCGTGGGGCGGCTGGAGACAGCAGCGACGGCGGCTAGGGCGGCCGCGGCGGCGAGGGCGGCCGTGAGCCGGCTGGAAACCAGCCGCGACGGCAGCTAGGGACGGCCGCCGACAGCAGCTAGGGGCGGCCGCGACGGCAAGCTAGAGGCGGCCGCGACGGCAGGAACGACCATGGGGCGGATGGAGACGGAGCGGACGGCGGCTAGGGGCGGCCGCGACGGCGAGGGGCGACCGTGAGCCCGGCTGGAAGCGGCCGCGAAGGCAGCTAGGGGCGGCCGCGACGGCCAGGGGGGCGGCTAGGGACGGGCGCGACGGCCAGGGGGCCGGCTAGGGACGGGCGCGACGGCCAGGGGGCCGGCTAGGGTCGGTCGCGAACGGCCAGGGGGCCGGCTAGGGCGGGCCGCGACGGCCAGGGGGGGCCGGCTAGGGACGGTTGCGAATGGCCAGGGGGCCAGCTAGGGGCGGGCGCGATGGCCAGGGGGGCCTGACTAGGGTTTGTCGCGAACGGCCAGGGGGCCGGCTTAGGGACGGGCGCGAACGGCCAGGGGGCCAGCTAGGGATGGGCGCGACGGCCAGGGGGGCCGGCTAGGGACGGGCGCAACGGCCAGGGGGCCGGCTAGGGACGGGCGTGACGGCAAGGGGGCCGGCTAGGGTCGGTCGCGAACGGCCAGGGGGCCGGCTAGGGGCGGGCGCGACGGCCAGGGGGGGCCGGCTAGGGACGGGGCAAGACGGCGGCTAGGGCCTAGGGGCGGAAGCGTGGGCGGGCTAGGGGGGGACCTAACCTACTATGATACCATATCAGAATGAATAAGTGAACTAGAATGAGTGAGTACAAGGGTATATAGACTAGGGTGTTGTACCCTCTAAGGCACAATCCAGTATAGTCTACAGTAACGGCCTAAGTTACATTTGACACAATGCAGGCGAATTGATACATTTTCAGAAAGGGAACGACATGTGTCACATGCAGATCCGCGATATCCCTCTGCGTGGCAGGCCCGTGCGCTGGTGCCCATGCGCGGGTGGAACAAGCAGTGACGGACGGGGAGGCTACGGATAGTGCTGCTGTGGGAGTCTTGAGGGAGGAAGGAGGGCCATGCAAGTAGGTCAGAATTCTGAGGGGAGAGTTTTGTGAGATGTGACGGGCGATTTTTACGCGTTAGGAGAGCAACAGAGCTGCGGGATTCGATAAGAGAAAATATGAGTGTGTTGATAAGTCCTTATGCTTCTCTCAATTACATTTCACATTCGTAGTGCCATGCTTGTAGCAGCTAGTTCTGATCGAGCTTCAGTGGCCAAATTCAAAATTGTGAGTAATCTTGAGTCCCGTTGGCGGGCCATTCGGCAAGAAAAACTCGATTGTTTCGCACTTGTTGAATGAGCCCGTAGAGGGGGCTTCGATTGTCATCCTCTGCTGATACTGTGCTGTAGCTTTCCTCACGAGAGCTGCATGCTTGGGAGGGAGGGACCAGCGGCGTTCTCATACAAGCATGTCTCTGCTTTTCCCGCTGCCATTGAGGCGGCGTTTCTTTGTACAAGTACAAGGCCGGCTCCGAGTTCTAACCCAGACATCACACACACATCCTCCTAGCGCTTTTCTCCCAAGTGCACGGTGCTTCCCGCAAGCTGCTTTCTCGTACATCCACAAGTCCTACATGTCTGAGACCAGCTGCCTTCTCATACAGCCATGCCAGCTCCTCCCACTCTCGTCAAGGCAGCATCTCGTGCAGAAGGCAACTGCAAATGGCAATCCTGAGAGGCTCCTCTCATCATAATCCTAGGACCCTTTTCACGATTGCCACATGCTTTGCGCCTGTTGCCTTCTCATACATCCATGGCCAGCTCCTCCCGTTCTCGTCGAGGCAGCATCTCTCGTAGAAGGTTGGCCGAGGTTGCCATTTCAGGCTGGTGGTCGTGGTGGAAGGAGGAAGGGGATTTACAAAGTTCGTGCTTTTTTCCTCTCCATCTTATCCCCTCCCTCTCTCTCACACTCTTTCTTTCACACACACTCTCTCTCTCTTTTTCTGTCTGTCTCTCTCTCTCTCTCTCTCTCTCACTCTCTCTCTCTCTCTCTCTCTCTCTCTCTCTCTCTCTCTCTCTCTCTCTCTCTCTCTCTCTCTCTCTCTCTCTCTCTCTCTCTCTCTCTAGGTTTAGGCTGGTGCAAGAGGAAGATAGGAAGCCAAACACCTAGTTGGCATATGGTTGCATGCTTGTGCATATGAACATGCATGTGCATGGGCGCATGCATGCACATGGATGAGCGGATGGATGTTGAGCAGCTTCTTTCTGTTAACTGCATTCAAGTCTATGTTCTAAGCGCATCAGGCACGCACCGAGACAGCAGCAGGAGTAAACTCGGAAAGGAGGTTGGAGATTCCCTGTAGCTTGACCTCCGCCTCGCCCCTCATACTCGCTTCTATCAGCTCCTGCATTCGATACAAGCACAAAATTTCCAAGAAAAACGACACCAAGAACCATAACATAACCAGCACACAGCAGGAGGGGAAACAGGAAAAGCGGGCTGATAGCCCAACTCAGAACAACTGTGCGCTGATAGAACTGAGTAGAAGATCAGAACAACTCAGAACCCCAATGGCTACACGCTCGGAACCTCAGAATATCCATTGCAAAAAAAAAAGCTCAGCTGCCAGTTTACCAGGTGCTGTTTGGCAATCCGATCCCTCAGCACCGCTGCAAGTTGCAACTGCACATTGTTAACTCACAGGTATCAGCTGGACTGCCACCTATTTGCCTCCCCTCTCTGTGCTGCTCACAACCATACCCGCACTCCCCCCTCTAACTCTCCTCTCACACACAAGTGACTCCTGTTGCACGAAACGAGCTCAGCTGCCAGTCTACTGGCCACCCCTTTGAGCGCCGCTGCTAGGGCTGACGGAGGCGCGAGGCCCACAGCTGCTGCCATGCCTTTTGGAGTCGACTCAAAGGTCATCCTGCTGCCAGCACCCACACATGATAAACTCACATTGCACGCAACGAGCTCAGCTGTCACTCTACTGGCCACCCCTCTGAGGAGAACCAGCCAGAGCTGATGGAGCCGGGGAGGCTGATGGCTGCCGCCATGACCACAAGGAATGATGGGGCCGGAGGCGGGAAGCCTGGGTGGGGATCTGTGCTGCAAGGGCGAGGGAGGGAGGAGAAGGGGACAGCAGGGGGGAGGGGGAAGTGGAAGTTTAATGGCTGCTGCCATGCCCACAAGGAATGATGGGGCCGGAGGCGGGAAGCCTGGGTGGGGGCCGCTGTGCTGCAAGGGCGGGGGAGGGAGGAGAAGGGGACAGCAGGGGGAGGGGGGAAGTGGAAGTTAATGGCTGCTGCCATGCCCACAAGGAATGATGGGCCGGAGGCGGGAAGCCTGGGTGGGGGCTCTGTGCTGCAAGGGCGGGGGGGAGGAGAGGGACAGCAGGGGGAGGGGGGAAGTGGAGTAATGGTGCTGCATGACAAGGAATGATGGGCCGGAGGGGGAAGCTGGGGGGTGCTCTGTGCTGCAAGGGGAGGGAGGAGAAGGGGACAGCAGGGGGAGGGGGGAAGTGGAAGCTAATGGCTGCTGCCATGCCCACAAGGCATGATGAGCCCGTGCAGGGAAGCCTGAATGCGTCTGCAGGGGGGCTGGAAAGGGGACGGCAGCGGGATGGGGAAAGAGGAAGTTAATTGCATACGGGGCCGAACAGGGGACAGCTGTAGGCATGCCAGCAAGGAAGGATGGACCGGACGAGGGAAGCCTGGATGGGTGGACCGTGCTGTTCTAAAAAACAAGTCTCTCCCTCACTCCTCACTCCATTCCCCTCACCCCATGCATGCATCCAGAGCCAGCTGGACGGCAGCGTTGAACACTATCATGCGCACAGAGTCCCTTTGAGTTTGCCACGTGTCACCAGATGCTCGCCATGCCGCCCAGATCTGACGGCTCAGAGCAGACATAGCAGAAAATGGAACGAAAGGTCGAAAGGGAAAAAAATGTTTGTGAAAGATAGAAGGGATTGGTAGAGATTGCGTTCACATAAATCTGCGTTCACATGGGATTTAAGTTGAACGAAATGCCGAGGAAATGTGATGCCAAGTCCTCCTGACCATGTTGCACAAACGCTTCGTACAGATGAGTACGGTGCGGTGCCATGTGGTGTGGTGCAGTGTGGTCATGTGCGGCACCTGGGTAAGAGCCTCTGGTGGGATGTGGCCCTGCGAGTTGAACTGCTCCAATGCTCCTGAAATCGCATGGAAACGCAGACAAACCCATCCATGAAAATGAGAAAGAAACAGTCTCGTTGACAGTACTCTGAAAGGCAGCTAGCGCCATGAAGGCCCATGACATGAATAATGCATGGCGATCAAACTCACGTGTCCATCTCATCCCATGCCATCCCACTCATCCATCCCATCCCATCCCATCCCATCCCATCCCATCCCATCCCATCCCATCCATCCCATCCCATCCCATCCATCCCATCCCATCCCATCCCATCCCATCCCATCCCATCCCATCCCATCCTAGCCAGCCCAACTAGCCCCACCCCCTGCCCACCCCAAAACAATCTCGTAATATCCCATTTTGACCCATCCCATTCCACCTCCCAACTTGCTTACCCATCACAGCCAATTGCGTGTCTTTTATCGAATGGCCTCCCAAACCAGCCTGTCCGCCTCGGCCACTTCCCGAGCTTGTTTCCGAACCTGTGGCCAAACCCTGTGTCCCCTGCAAGGCCAGCTCGGCCCAGGCCTCCTGCCACCAATCAGGCACGAGATCCGACCTGTAATCCGACCTCTGATTCGGCCTGTAATCCGACCTCTGATTCGACCTGTGATCCGGCCTGTAATCCGAGCTATTTCCATCGTCTCTCCCTTGAAGTCTTCCATTCCCAAGTCCTGCTACTGTCCGATTTGTGTGGTTGCCATACTGACTGCCAGCTCCCCTAATCGCCTTCTGTGCCTCCCCTGCTTCCCCTGATTTCCTTGTGCGATTTGCTGCACCCATTTGGCTCCTCCGCGTCTGTTTGGCAAATGAACCCTTTAAGGATTCGCCTGAATTTCCACCTGAGCGGTCTGTTGCATCCACCTGGCTCATTTCAAGAGCCAGCATCGTCTCATGAACGTCCTCAGCCCCATCATTCCGTGACGTGTTCACTCCACCACCACCATAACCACCATCAAACCCTGAAGCACCACTAACGACCGCAGCAGAATCACCACTTTCGCCAACCCTACTCTTGCCAGTCTGCTGCTGGCTCTGCTGGTTCTGCTGCTGCTGCTGGTTCTGCTGCTGCTGCTGCTGTTGCTGCTGCTGTGCCTTCTGCTCAGCCTTTTCCTCCTGCTGCTGCAAGCCCTCTGCGGGACTCACGGCGCGCACTACTGGTGCAAAGAAACCTTGCACCGCAGCGCAAGCTGCAGCAAGGAAGCTGCGTGTGGCGGTATGGCGGAGGAGTAGCAAGAGGAGGAGGAACGAGGAGGAGAGGAGGACGGCTAGGCGGTGCGAGTGAGGGGAGGAGAGGGGAGGTAGGATCTGGTACAGGCGAGCAGGGAGGGCTGCTACCTGCGTGGAGAGCACACGCCTGTGGGTGGTGGGCAGATGAGTAGAACGAAACCGAAAGACAAAGGAGGATGGGGTTGAGGGGAGGGGGGAAGGGGGAAAGAGGGGGGGATGAGGGAACCTAATGACAGTGTGGAGAGGGTGAGTGTGAAGTGGGTGAGTGGGGAGTGTGTGAGTGTGAGTGTGGAGTGTGAGTGTGAAGTGGGAGAGTGGGGAGTTCGTAAGTCCCTTCCCACTCACTCCACGTGCGTGAGGGACACACACCTGAGGAGTCTACTATTGAGGCGCCTCAAGAATAGCAACACACACCTGGCCTTATCCACTGCGGGTGGAACTGACTCAGCCACTGACGCTGACACGTCAGCAACCCACACAGATGCAGAATCCATAGCCTTCTCGAGTGGAGACTTCAACGAGTGTGACAATACCGAAGGTGGCGAGCCCCCTCTTCTCCTTATCTCAGAACCTCTCCTGAGCGGCATCTGCTGCCTTATACCCTCCCCACCTCCAATCCTCTCCATATAGTCACCATCAATCCTTTTCATATAGTCACCATCCCTCTGTGCCCAATCCCTCTGGTTGTCCTCAAGCCCTACAATCCAGTCTCCTCTTCCCCCACCCCCTCCCCATCCCCCTCCCCCTCCCCCTCCCCCTCCCCCTCTCCGCCTATGCGTCCGTCTAGCAGTCCACGAGAATTCACCCCCCCTTCCACTCCTGCTACTACTGCTTCTCCTGCTACTTTTACTCTCCAGCGTTGCACTATAACGAGATGACTCTTGAGTCGATTCAATAGCTGTCCAGGAGACCCCATCCTCCTCTGCTCTCGAGAGTCCATCCTCTGTGCTGCCGCTGCTCTGCTGCAGCTTAAGGTGCGTTATAACACGCCTCAATACATGCACAGGCCAGGGTTCGTCCTCCCTGCTACTATCAGAAGCATTAGAACCACTCTGCAAAACCCTTATCCCCATAGCACTACTCTGCATCCGCCACGGTGTTCTAAAACGGCGCCTTGTAACATGCACCTGCCAGGAGCTGGTTGCCGGAATTCCCATCCGTCCGAGATTGACAGATGTATGGGCATAGGTAATACGTCTAGAACTAATCGTGCGAGCAGAACTGGTATTGGCAATACCACCACCACCGGAGTTACCAAGAACGCCAGGCGACCCATCATGGTAAACCAACGTGCCATGACGTGCTCGGAGCTGCACAGCTACCACGGCAGCCATGAGCGTCACCAGGGGGAATCTACGTGGTGGAGAGAGCTGTTTACTTGAGAATTCTCGAAAGGTGAGCTGCACAGCAAGCGTAGCTGGGACTCTCAGGCGGGATGAAAAGAGTTGAGAAAGATTTCTGGAGCGAGCTTGCTTTGAGTTCGCAGGGTGACCCGAGATTCGGAAGGTGAGAGAAGGGCACCTGCTGGCAGGGTGAAGTGCCACAGGAGGTGTAGCAGACTGAGAAGACAGGAGGCTAAGTGCGGGGTTGATTGCCTCTAAACAGTTGCCAGTCAGGGAAAGTCGCTTCTGAGCTATCGGATTATAAGAATTCACCAGCTACTGACACTTAGCCACACTCGGCGGAAGGGTCGCCAAGAATCCGGGCAGAATTGACGCCACCCGGCGGGAGAGAAAACGCCCCGGAAGAAAAAAGGTTCCGCCTCGGGAATCCGAAATCAGGAATAAATTTCCTCACCTTCCTGACCAGCCGCTCGCATGCTTGAAGTACAGTATCCTGAACGGTCGGAACCGAAGCGGGTAACCACCCTTTCCACAGACAACGGTGGACAAATCTCTTTCCGTTAGAGTCGCACACATCACAGAGCATCCCTCACGGTCGGGCTCCGTCCGTGTCCTGTCGTCACATGACGTCAGTTGGCGTCTCCTGTGACGTGTCATCTTGAATGACATGATCGTCAGTGTCAGTGTCATGTGTCGTGTCACCCGTGAACTGCTTGCCGTGTCATGTGTGTCGTTCGTGCTGACACCGCGGGGAGGTCTGGTCGGGCCAAGCGCTGGTCACCGAATGGATGATGGGTCCTATGGCGGCGAAGTTTTTCCCCAGAAGGGCAGGCCAACGCCATTGTATTTCTGGATAAGATGCGAATTTCAAGCATTAGGCTTGGAGGCGCGAGGTCTGCGTGCGGCCTCGGTTGCTGATGAGCGTGTGATGTGATGTGTGATGCGATGTGAAGCGTGAAATGGCGGGCGTGAGGTACACATGAAACGGGCATTGCGGTAGCCGCTATTGGCTGACTCGATAAAAAACTGCAATAATATTTATAACGAGTATCATCTCTCTTCTAAGTAGTTCATGAGAACAAACCTTTTTAGTTCTATGGGTACTCCACGAGGACCATGTGCACAATCCTTACTGATGCAAGACAATATCATGGCAGGGTACAATTTTCCAGTCATTTACCCTCATTCAAGCCTAGCTCATTCCATCGTGGAAGCATACCTTCCAACTAGCTACCAGCGAGCGAAATCGAGGATATTGCTCAAAAGAATCTTAGCTCACATCACAAGTGCTCCATGCTTTGGATTGGATCAGCTGCAAGTGTGCCACAGCAGATGTCTTCTCACGCATCCATGCCCGCTTCACCTGCTGCTGTATGGCATTGGCCAACCCTCCTTCACACTCCAAGGGCTAGCTGATCACAACCGCCCAATTCTAAGCCAACTGTCCACCATGCTCCAACAGGTAAGCTCACTTTTGCCACATGCACGGTTGGACCAACTGTCTTCTCATAGATCCATACCGGCTCAAACTCCTACGAGGATTACGGCAGCGTCGCAGAAGAAAGGTAGGTTGAAAACGCTGATCATAGCATCACACTCCTAGAGCTCGCCTCACGAGGCCCACATGCTTGGGGCCAGCTGCCTTCCCATACATCCATGCCAGCTCCTCCCGCTGCCGGTGAGACAGCATGTCACTTAGAAGATGGGCTGAAGACGCTAGCTCCGGCTGGTGTGATGAAGGGGATGGGGGGGAAGGAGGGGAGGGGAGGGGGGTAGAGAAGGGGGGAGAGAAGGGGGGAGAGAAGGGGGAGAGAAGGGGGGAGAGAAGGGGGGAGAGAAGGGGGGAGAGAAGGGGGGAGAGAAGGGAGGAGAGAAGGGGGGAGAGAAGGGGGGAGAGAGGGGGGGAGAGAAGGGGGAGAGAAGGGGGGAGAGAAGGGGGGAGAGAAGGGGGGAGAGAAGGGGGGAGAGAAGGGGGGAGAGAAGGGGGGAGAGAAGGGGGAAGAGAAGGGGGGAGAGAAGGGGGGAGAGAAGGGGGGAGAGAAGGGGGGAGAGAAGGGGGGAGAGAAGGCGAGGGCCCGTGCCATGTGCATGTGAGTTAACAATCTAGTCATTGTTTTGAGACGTCTCAAAATCACAACATAATCAGACGGGGAAGGGGGGAGGGGGGGGGGGAGGGAAATGGGGGAGAGGGCTTCTGCCAGTTGTGCGTGAATGTGTGTGGGATAAAGGCATGTCCATAGATGGGAGTGTGTGTGAGTGGGTGTGTTGAGGACTTAGGCGCATAAGGCACGTACCGAGATTGCTGGAGGAGTGAATGTAGAAAGAAGGTTTGCAATTCGCTGGAACTTGACGTTCGCCTTTTTCCACTTAAAGGCCTTCATCAACTCCTGCTTCAATACAATCACGCAAGCAACACCCAAAGGTCAGAAGGCAGACATACACCACAAGCAGCACCGGAAACCAAAGAGAACAATCACCCTCGCACCTGACGATCTCACACGGCATGTAACAAGATCTCTGGCAAATCCGTCAGGCAATCCTCTAAGTGCTGCTCTACTCATGCTATAATCATCAACACTCATACGCCCAGGTATTATCACCCCTCTCGTATGTTCTGTTATGTTCACAAAAGCTCTCACGTCCTATTACGATCATAACACACACTCACACACGCTCACACACACTCACACACACTCACACAAACTCACGCACACTCACACACACTCACACTCACTCACGCACACTCACACACACTCACACACACTCTCACACGCTCACACAAGCTCACACACACTCACATTGCAAGCAACGAGCTCAGCTGCCAGTCTACTAGCCACTCCCTTCCGTGCAGCTGAGGCTGCCAAAGCGGGTGCAATGCCAACGGCGGCTGCGATCCCGACAAGGAATAGCGGGCCGGAGGAGGTGGGAAGGAGGTGCGGAGACGAGAGCGTGTCACCGCTGCACGGGGAAAAAGTGGGAGGGATAGAGGGAAGGGAGGGGAGCAGAAGTACTAATCTGAGGTCAGCTGATTGGCAACATTGGATATTACCATTGAATCCATCTCGCCCCATCCCCCTCGCCCCATCCCCGTCGCCCCATCCCCCTCGCCCCATCCCCTCGCCCCATCCCCCTCGCCCTACCCCCCTCGCCCCACCCCCTCGCCCCACCCCCCTCGCCCCACCCCCCTCGCCCCAGCCCCTCGCCCCACCCCCTCGCCCCACCCCCTCGCCCCATCCCTCTCACCCCATGCATTCATCCAGTGCCAACGGGACAGCAGCTCTGAACACAATCATCTGCACAGAATCCCTGTGGGTGTGCCACGTGTCACCAGATGCTCGCCACGCAGCCCAGATCTGACGGCTCAGAGGGAAGGATGGACGTGAAGAGGTACGGGGGAAGGGTTGGTTTGTATCTGACTGATGCTGAGCCGCAGGGCCAGGGCATGATGCCATGTGGTGAGATGCGATGCAATGCAATGCGGTGAGATGTGGTGAGCTGTGCTACAATGGGGTGCGATGCGGTGAAGTGTGGTGTGCACCTGGAGGAGAGCCTCTGGTGGGATGTGGCGGGATGAGTTGAAATGCTCCAATGCACCTGGCATTGCATGACGTCGTATTGCATTCAAGGCACACAATGGCAGTTCAAGATTAGCACTGGCGCACACTGACTCCTGTACACTGGCACACATTGGCGTATCCCATAGTCACCGCTTCGTACCCCATACCACCCATGCCATTCACATACCCATCACAGCAAATCGTGTGTCTTTCACCGAAACGCCTCCCGAACCTGTCTGCCCGGCTCGGCCCGAGCCTCCAACCAGCCCCTGTGCTCGCTGCAAGGCCAGCTCATCACACGCCTCCTGCCACCAATCAGGAACAATCAGATCCAATCTGATCCTTTCCCCCTCAACCTCGCCCCTTCCCTTTCTGTAAATCCCCCCCTGGGAGGAGGCTACAGCTCCTTCTCTATCTTCGTTCACAGGCAGAGCTGTTCCCCCAGTGTCGGGTGGTTCTGCTGTGGACGTCATGTGCTTGTCAGATTGGTTAACCTCCATTCTCGCCTTGTATTCTTGCCCTGCTTCCTCTGCTTCCTCTGCTTCCTCTGCTTCCTCTGCTTCCTCTGCTTCCCATGCTGTCCCTGCCACTGCCCTTGCTTCTTCCTCTGCTGCAACCCCTCTTTCCCCTGCTCCCCCACACAAATTACGTGGCACTGTTACTGCTGACACTCCTGCTGCTGCTGCTGCTGCTGCGTCTTCCCCCTCGTGCGAATCCTCTGGCTGCCGCTTTTCAACGGTTAGCTCACCCCTCTTCTGCAGCTTCAGGCTGCATTCAAAACCCAACGCACGTGACGCTGATGCTGCAGCCTCTGCCGCCTCTGCCGCCTCTGCCACCTCTGCCGCCTCTGCCGCCTCTGCCGCCTCTGCTGCCTCTGCCGCCTCTTCCGCCTCTGCCGCCTCTGCCGCCTCTGCCGCCTCTGCTGCCTCTGCCGCCTCTGCTGCCTCTGCTGCCTCTGCCACCTCTGCTGCCTCTTCCTCCTCCTCCTCCTCCTGCTGTCCCTTGTCAACGGCACGCTCAGCCCTCTGCCGCAGCTGCAAGCTGTCTTCAGAATCTAAAGCTCGTAGCACTACTGCTGGCCCTGCTGCTGCTGTCTCTTCCTCCTCCTCCTCCTGCTGGGGCTGCGTCTTCTTTTGAACCACAAGTTCAGCCCTCTTCCGCTGCTGTAAGATATCCTCAGAACACAGGGCGTGTGATGTTGCTGCCGCTCCTGTGGTCTCTTCCCCCTCAAGTGGATCAGTTTTTTGCCCCTTTTGAACCACACGCTCCGCCCTCCTCCGCAGCTGCAGACTGTCCACAGGACCCAACGCACATGCTGCTGCTGTCTCTTCCTCTTCCTCCTCCTCCTGCTGCCGCTGCCCTTTTTGAACCACACGCTCAGCCCTCCTCCGCAGCTGCAGACTGTCCACAGGACCCAACGCACATGCTGCTGCTGTCTCTTCCTCTTCCTCCTCCTCCTGCTGCCGCTGCCCTTTTTGAACCACACGCTCAGCCCTCCTCCGCAGCTGCAGACTGTCCTCAGAACCCAACGCACATGCTGCTGCTGTCTCTTCCTCTTCCTCCTCCTCCTGCTGCCGCTGCCCTTTTTGAACCACACGCTCAGCCCTCCTCCGCAGCTGCAGACTGTCCACAGGACCCAACGCACATGCTGCTGCTGTCTCTTCCTCTTCCTCCTCCTCCTGCTGCCGCTGCCCTTTTTGAACCACACGCTCAGCCCTCCTCCGCAGCTGCAGACTGTCCACAGGACCCAACGCACATGCTGCTGCTGTCTCTTCCTCTTCCTCCTCCTCCTGCTGCCGCTGCCCTTTTTGAACCACACGCTCAGCCCTCCTCCGCAGCTGCAGACTGTCCACAGGACCCAACGCACATGCTGCTGCTGTCTCTTCCTCTTCCTCCTCCTCCTGCTGCCGCTGCCCTTTTTGAACCACACGCTCAGCCCTCCTCCGCAGCTGCAGACTGTCCACAGGACCCAACGCACATGCTGCTGCTGTCTCTTCCTCTTCCTCCTCCTCCTGCTGCCGCTGCCCTTTTTGAACCACACGCTCAGCCCTCCTCCGCAGCTGCAGACTGTCCACAGGACCCAACGCACATGCTGCTGCTGTCTCTTCCTCTTCCTCCTCCTCCTGCTGCCGCTGCCCTTTTTGAACCACACGCTCAGCCCTCCTCCGCAGCTGCAGACTGTCCACAGGACCCAACGCACATGCTGCTGCTGTCTCTTCCTCTTCCTCCTCCTCCTGCTGCCGCTGCCCTTTTTGAACCACACGCTCAGCCCTCCTCCGCAGCTGCAGACTGTCCACAGGACCCAACGCACATGCTGCTGCTGTCTCTTCCTCTTCCTCCTCCTCCTGCTGCCGCTGCCCTTTTTGAACCACACGCTCAGCCCTCCTCCGCAGCTGCAGACTGTCCACAGGACCCAACGCACATGCTGCTGCTGTCTCTTCCTCTTCCTCCTCCTCCTGCTGCCGCTGCCCTTTTTGAACCACACGCTCAGCCCTCCTCCGCAGCTGCAGACTGTCCACAGGACCCAACGCACATGCTGCTGCTGTCTCTTCCTCTTCCTCCTCCTCCTGCTGCCGCTGCCCTTTTTGAACCACACGCTCAGCCCTCCTCCGCAGCTGCAGACTGTCCACAGGACCCAACGCACATGCTGCTGCTGTCTCTTCCTCTTCCTCCTCCTCCTGCTGCCGCTGCCCTTTTTGAACCACACGCTCAGCCCTCCTCCGCAGCTGCAGACTGTCCACAGGACCCAACGCACATGCTGCTGCTGTCTCTTCCTCTTCCTCCTCCTCCTGCTGCCGCTGCCCTTTTTGAACCACACGCTCAGCCCTCCTCCGCAGCTGCAGACTGTCCACAGGACCCAACGCACATGCTGCTGCTGTCTCTTCCTCTTCCTCCTCCTCCTGCTGCCGCTGCCCTTTTTGAACCACACGCTCAGCCCTCCTCCGCAGCTGCAGACTGTCCACAGGACCCAACGCACATGCTGCTGCTGTCTCTTCCTCTTCCTCCTCCTCCTGCTGCCGCTGCCCTTTTTGAACCACACGCTCAGCCCTCCTCCGCAGCTGCAGACTGTCCACAGGACCCAACGCACATGCTGCTGCTGTCTCTTCCTCTTCCTCCTCCTCCTGCTGCCGCTGCCCTTTTTGAACCACACGCTCAGCCCTCCTCCGCAGCTGCAGACTGTCCACAGGACCCAACGCACATGCTGCTGCTGTCTCTTCCTCTTCCTCCTCCTCCTGCTGCCGCTGCCCTTTTTGAACCACACGCTCAGCCCTCCTCCGCAGCTGCAGACTGTCCACAGGACCCAACGCACATGCTGCTGCTGTCTCTTCCTCTTCCTCCTCCTCCTGCTGCCGCTGCCCTTTTTGAACCACACGCTCAGCCCTCCTCCGCAGCTGCAGACTGTCCACAGGACCCAACGCACATGCTGCTGCTGTCTCTTCCTCTTCCTCCTCCTCCTGCTGCCGCTGCCCTTTTTGAACCACACGCTCAGCCCTCCTCCGCAGCTGCAGACTGTCCACAGGACCCAACGCACATGCTGCTGCTGTCTCTTCCTCTTCCTCCTCCTCCTGCTGCCGCTGCCCTTTTTGAACCACACGCTCAGCCCTCCTCCGCAGCTGCAGACTGTCCACAGGACCCAACGCACATGCTGCTGCTGTCTCTTCCTCTTCCTCCTCCTCCTGCTGCCGCTGCCCTTTTTGAACCACACGCTCAGCCCTCCTCCGCAGCTGCAGACTGTCCTCAGAACCCAACGCACATGCTGCTGCTGTCTCTTCCTCTTCCTCCTCCTCCTGCTGCCGCTGCCCTTTTTGAACCACACGCTCAGCCCTCCTCCGCAGCTGCAGACTGTCCACAGGACCCAACGCACATGCTGCTGCTGTCTCTTCCTCTTCCTCCTCCTCCTGCTGCCGCTGCCCTTTTTGAACCACACGCTCAGCCCTCCTCCGCAGCTGCAGACTGTCCACAGGACCCAACGCACATGCTGCTGCTGTCTCTTCCTCTTCCTCCTCCTCCTGCTGCCGCTGCCCTTTTTGAACCACACGCTCAGCCCTCCTCCGCAGCTGCAGACTGTCCACAGGACCCAACGCACATGCTGCTGCTGTCTCTTCCTCTTCCTCCTCCTCCTGCTGCCGCTGCCCTTTTTGAACCACACGCTCAGCCCTCCTCCGCAGCTGCAGACTGTCCACAGGACCCAACGCACATGCTGCTGCTGTCTCTTCCTCTTCCTCCTCCTCCTGCTGCCGCTGCCCTTTTTGAACCACACGCTCAGCCCTCCTCCGCAGCTGCAGACTGTCCTCAGAACCCAACGCACATGCTGCTGCTGTCTCTTCCTCTTCCTCCTCCTCCTGCTGCCGCTGCCCTTTTTGAACCACACGCTCAGCCCTCCTCCGCAGCTGCAGACTGTCCACAGGACCCAACGCACATGCTGCTGCTGTCTCTTCCTCTTCCTCCTCCTCCTGCTGCCGCTGCCCTTTTTGAACCACACGCTCAGCCCTCCTCCGCAGCTGCAGACTGTCCACAGGACCCAACGCACATGCTGCTGCTGTCTCTTCCTCTTCCTCCTCCTCCTGCTGCCGCTGCCCTTTTTGAACCACACGCTCAGCCCTCCTCCGCAGCTGCAGACTGTCCACAGGACCCAACGCACATGCTGCTGCTGTCTCTTCCTCTTCCTCCTCCTCCTGCTGCCGCTGCCCTTTTTGAACCACACGCTCAGCCCTCCTCCGCAGCTGCAGACTGTCCTCAGAACCCAACGCACATGCTGCTGCTGTCTCTTCCTCTTCCTCCTCCTCCTGCTGCCGCTGCCCTTTTTGAACCACACGCTCAGCCCTCCTCCGCAGCTGCAGACTGTCCTCAGGACCCAACGCACATGCTGCTGCTGTCTCTTCCTCTTCCTCCTCCTCCTGCTGCCGCTGCCCTTTTTGAACCACACGCTCAGCCCTCCTCCGCAGCTGCAGACTGTCCTCAGAACCCAACGCACATGCTGCTGCTGTCTCTTCCTCTTCCTCCTCCTCCTGCTGCCGCTGCCCTTTTTGAACCACACGCTCAGCCCTCCTCCGCAGCTGCAGACTGTCCACAGGACCCAACGCACATGCTGCTGCTGTCTCTTCCTCTTCCTCCTCCTCCTGCTGCCGCTGCCCTTTTTGAACCACACGCTCAGCCCTCCTCCGCAGCTGCAGACTGTCCTCAGAACCCAACGCACATGCTGCTGCTGTCTCTTCCTCTTCCTCCTCCTCCTGCTGCCGCTGCCCTTTTTGAACCACACGCTCAGCCCTCCTCCGCAGCTGCAGACTGTCCACAGGACCCAACGCACATGCTGCTGCTGTCTCTTCCTCTTCCTCCTCCTCCTGCTGCCGCTGCCCTTTTTGAACCACACGCTCAGCCCTCCTCCGCAGCTGCAGACTGTCCACAGGACCCAACGCACATGCTGCTGCTGTCTCTTCCTCTTCCTCCTCCTCCTGCTGCCGCTGCCCTTTTTGAACCACACGCTCAGCCCTCCTCCGCAGCTGCAGACTGTCCACAGGACCCAACGCACATGCTGCTGCTGTCTCTTCCTCTTCCTCCTCCTCCTGCTGCCGCTGCCCTTTTTGAACCACACGCTCAGCCCTCCTCCGCAGCTGCAGACTGTCCACAGGACCCAACGCACATGCTGCTGCTGTCTCTTCCTCTTCCTCCTCCTCCTGCTGCCGCTGCCCTTTTTGAACCACACGCTCAGCCCTCCTCCGCAGCTGCAGACTGTCCACAGGACCCAACGCACATGCTGCTGCTGTCTCTTCCTCTTCCTCCTCCTCCTGCTGCCGCTGCCCTTTTTGAACCACACGCTCAGCCCTCCTCCGCAGCTGCAGACTGTCCTCAGAACCCAACGCACATGCTGCTGCTGTCTCTTCCTCTTCCTCCTCCTCCTGCTGCCGCTGCCCTTTTTGAACCACACGCTCAGCCCTCCTCCGCAGCTGCAGACTGTCCACAGGACCCAACGCACATGCTGCTGCTGTCTCTTCCTCTTCCTCCTCCTCCTGCTGCCGCTGCCCTTTTTGAACCACACGCTCAGCCCTCCTCCGCAGCTGCAGACTGTCCACAGGACCCAACGCACATGCTGCTGCTGTCTCTTCCTCTTCCTCCTCCTCCTGCTGCCGCTGCCCTTTTTGAACCACACGCTCAGCCCTCCTCCGCAGCTGCAGACTGTCCACAGGACCCAACGCACATGCTGCTGCTGTCTCTTCCTCTTCCTCCTCCTCCTGCTGCCGCTGCCCTTTTTGAACCACACGCTCAGCCCTCCTCCGCAGCTGCAGACTGTCCACAGGACCCAACGCACATGCTGCTGCTGTCTCTTCCTCTTCCTCCTCCTCCTGCTGCCGCTGCCCTTTTTGAACCACACGCTCAGCCCTCCTCCGCAGCTGCAGACTGTCCACAGGACCCAACGCACATGCTGCTGCTGTCTCTTCCTCTTCCTCCTCCTCCTGCTGCCGCTGCCCTTTTTGAACCACACGCTCAGCCCTCCTCCGCAGCTGCAGACTGTCCTCAGAACCCAACGCACATGCTGCTGCTGTCTCTTCCTCTTCCTCCTCCTCCTGCTGCCGCTGCCCTTTTTGAACCACACGCTCAGCCCTCCTCCGCAGCTGCAGACTGTCCTCAGAACCCAACGCACATGCTGCTGCTGTCTCTTCCTCTTCCTCCTCCTCCTGCTGCCGCTGCCCTTTTTGAACCACACGCTCAGCCCTCCTCCGCAGCTGCAGACTGTCCTCAGAACCCAACGCACATGCTGCTGCTGTCTCTTCCTCTTCCTCCTCCTCCTGCTGCCGCTGCCCTTTTTGAACCACACGCTCAGCCCTCCTCCGCAGCTGCAGACTGTCCTCAGAACCCAACGCACATGCTGCTGCTGTCTCTTCCTCTTCCTCCTCCTCCTGCTGCCGCTGCCCTTTTTGAACCACACGCTCAGCCCTCCTCCGCAGCTGCAGACTGTCCTCAGAACCCAACGCACATGCTGCTGCTGTCTCTTCCTCTTCCTCCTCCTCCTGCTGCCGCTGCCCTTTTTGAACCACACGCTCAGCCCTCCTCCGCAGCTGCAGACTGTCCACAGGACCCAACGCACATGCTGCTGCTGTCTCTTCCTCTTCCTCCTCCTCCTGCTGCCGCTGCCCTTTTTGAACCACACGCTCAGCCCTCCTCCGCAGCTGCAGACTGTCCACAGGACCCAACGCACATGCTGCTGCTGTCTCTTCCTCTTCCTCCTCCTCCTGCTGCCGCTGCCCTTTTTGAACCACACGCTCAGCCCTCCTCCGCAGCTGCAGACTGTCCTCAGAACCCAACGCACATGCTGCTGCTGTCTCTTCCTCTTCCTCCTCCTCCTGCTGCCGCTGCCCTTTTTGAACCACACGCTCAGCCCTCCTCCGCAGCTGCAGACTGTCCTCAGAACCCAACGCACATGCTGCTGCTGTCTCTTCCTCTTCCTCCTCCTCCTGCTGCCGCTGCCCTTTTTGAACCACACGCTCAGCCCTCCTCCGCAGCTGCAGACTGTCCTCAGAACCCAACGCACATGCTGCTGCTGTCTCTTCCTCTTCCTCCTCCTCCTGCTGCCGCTGCCCTTTTTGAACCACACGCTCAGCCCTCCTCCGCAGCTGCAGACTGTCCTCAGAACCCAACGCACATGCTGCTGCTGTCTCTTCCTCTTCCTCCTCCTCCTGCTGCCGCTGCCCTTTTTGAACCACACGCTCAGCCCTCCTCCGCAGCTGCAGACTGTCCTCAGAACCCAACGCACATGCTGCTGCTGTCTCTTCCTCTTCCTCCTCCTCCTGCTGCCGCTGCCCTTTTTGAACCACACGCTCAGCCCTCCTCCGCAGCTGCAGACTGTCCACAGGACCCAACGCACATGCTGCTGCTGTCTCTTCCTCTTCCTCCTCCTCCTGCTGCCGCTGCCCTTTTTGAACCACACGCTCAGCCCTCCTCCGCAGCTGCAGACTGTCCTCAGAACCCAACGCACATGCTGCTGCTGTCTCTTCCTCTTCCTCCTCCTCCTGCTGCCGCTGCCCTTTTTGAACCACACGCTCAGCCCTCCTCCGCAGCTGCAGACTGTCCTCAGAACCCAACGCACATGCTGCTGCTGTCTCTTCCTCTTCCTCCTCCTCCTGCTGCCGCTGCCCTTTTTGAACCACACGCTCAGCCCTCCTCCGCAGCTGCAGACTGTCCTCAGAACCCAACGCACATGCTGCTGCTGTCTCTTCCTCTTCCTCCTCCTCCTGCTGCCGCTGCCCTTTTTGAACCACACGCTCAGCCCTCCTCCGCAGCTGCAGACTGTCCTCAGAACCCAACGCACATGCTGCTGCTGTCTCTTCCTCTTCCTCCTCCTCCTGCTGCCGCTGCCCTTTTTGAACCACACGCTCAGCCCTCCTCCGCAGCTGCAGACTGTCCACAGGACCCAACGCACATGCTGCTGCTGTCTCTTCCTCTTCCTCCTCCTCCTGCTGCCGCTGCCCTTTTTGAACCACACGCTCAGCCCTCCTCCGCAGCTGCAGACTGTCCTCAGAACCCAACGCACATGCTGCTGCTGTCTCTTCCTCTTCCTCCTCCTCCTGCTGCCGCTGCCCTTTTTGAACCACACGCTCAGCCCTCCTCCGCAGCTGCAGACTGTCCTCAGAACCCAACGCACATGCTGCTGCTGTCTCTTCCTCTTCCTCCTCCTCCTGCTGCCGCTGCCCTTTTTGAACCACACGCTCAGCCCTCCTCCGCAGCTGCAGACTGTCCTCAGAACCCAACGCACATGCTGCTGCTGTCTCTTCCTCTTCCTCCTCCTCCTGCTGCCGCTGCCCTTTTTGAACCACACGCTCAGCCCTCCTCCGCAGCTGCAGACTGTCCTCAGAACCCAACGCACATGCTGCTGCTGTCTCTTCCTCTTCCTCCTCCTCCTGCTGCCGCTGCCCTTTTTGAACCACACGCTCAGCCCTCCTCCGCAGCTGCAGACTGTCCTCAGAACCCAACGCACATGCTGCTGCTGTCTCTTCCTCTTCCTCCTCCTCCTGCTGCCGCTGCCCTTTTTGAACCACACGCTCAGCCCTCCTCCGCAGCTGCAGACTGTCCTCAGAACCCAACGCACATGCTGCTGCTGTCTCTTCCTCTTCCTCCTCCTCCTGCTGCCGCTGCCCTTTTTGAACCACACGCTCAGCCCTCCTCCGCAGCTGCAGACTGTCCTCAGAACCCACAGCAGGGGGTAGCCGGGCGACGAACAGACGATGTGCCACGGCGAAAGCTGCGAGACAGGTGCGACCGATGGTGCGATGGAGCCGGAGGAGGATGAGGATGAGGAGGAGCAGCGAGGAGGAGAGGAGGAAGGGTAGGTTTCGGGAGTGCGGGGAGGAGAGGGGAGGTAGCATCTGGTGCAGGCGGGCGGGGAGGGCTGCCACCTGAGTGGAAAACACAAGCCTGCAAAAAAATGGGCGGAAGGGGATGAGCGGTTACTAGGCAAATAGGGCCAGAAACAGGGTTCGGAAAAGAGGGGAGATTTATGAGTGGTGAATGCACGGTTTAAATCAAGCAACAGACCCACCTGGCTTTATCCAGTGCGTTTGAGTTTGAATTTGAAACTGGTTCAGCCACCGATGATGATGTCCGTGACAAAGAGCCTTGCTTCTGCGTTCCACCCTTCCCACCACCATCACCTAACTGCTCCATATAGTCACCATCCTTCTTCATATTGTCACCCCTTCCTTTCCCCTCGCTTTTCTCCTCATCCAGCGTCTCCCCAAATCTCCCTCCTCCCCCTCCTCTCCCCTTCCGCCCACCCGCTCTCCTCCTCTCCACGCGCCTAGCAGTCCAAGAAAATCCATCCTCCCTGCTGCTGCTGCTGCTGCCGCCGCTGCCGCTGCTGCCGCCGCTGCCACCGCTGCTGCTGCTCTCTATCCGGCTCGTGAGAATCAATCTGCGTCGTCCTCCGTCAACTGTCCTTGACAGTGGCGTTCTGTGGAGTCCGCCTACTGAGAAGGTCGAGGCCAGAGGATGGCGCACGCTGCAAAATATGGGCGCAGGCCATCGGCGCGCTGTGGCGGCGGCAACAGTAGCAACCACGCTACTAGCAGCCATGCTACTAGCGGCCAGGCTAGTTGCACAAGTGACGCCTAAACGAGCGCTACAAGGCGGGTGATGAGCCATGCTCCGTCAACGATTCAACGCCTTGAATCTGATCCACAATCACGGCTGAACCCAATCACGGTTGAATCCAATCACGGCTGAACCTTGCACCGATCTGGAATCTGTGCAGCCACGATCCACGGCTGGCGGATCTTTCGGGGAGCCGTCTCCAGCCCCGCGCAGAAGAGCTTCGCAGCGACGCACGTAAGACCCACTTATTATGAAGAGAAGGCTTCAAGTCAGGAGGCGGCATAGCAGAAGCTCGATCCCTCTCGATCCCTCTCGATCCCCTCTCGATCGCTCGATCGCTCGAGCGCGAGAAAACTCGTCCGACTTGCCGCCCCACGTATCCCCAGTAGCGCGGATAGAAGCGACCCGTAACTCCCACCGCATGTGTCTTTCCCTCCCCCGCCATCTCCTGTCCGCCCATTCGAGCTTCCGCCCATTCGAGCTTCCGCCCATTCGAGCTTCAGGTCTCCTCCGCGCAAAGTTTCCACCCGTCCCGCAAATAGCGGCCACGACGTGGCGCAGGAGGGAGACGCGACACTGCAACACATTTGAAAGCGGCGCGCCACGTGGTAGATGGCGATGGTACGTGCAGTTGGCGTCGGCGTGCATGGCATGACCGGTGCCCGTGCGCGGAATTGACATGACAGACGGGATGGTAGCGGTCGTCAGGGGCCTGTGCCCCCGGGAGATGGAGGGACAATCTGACGTAGATAGGGATTTGGAGGGGCGAATTCTACATGACGCGATGGAGGCATGGACGCGTTAGAGAGAATCAAGGCTTTTTTGCTACAGTCGATACGATGTCGAGATGAGTAGGTAAAATAAAAGTTTGACTAATACCATTATAGGACCCAATGCTTTAGTGCTATTAGTCTCTTCTTAGAGCCAAGGCAACACAACATCTGCACAAAACAAATAATCATATTACGTTAAAACAATGCTGTTTGCAGCGAGTTTTGATCGAGCTGCAATGGCTAGATTCAAAATGGAGTAATCTTGAGTCAAATTGGCATGGCCATTAGCATCATTCAGCAAGGAAAACTCGCAAGTGCTCCGCTCCTGTTCAACAATCCCCCGGAAGTAGTTTATGCGAACACTTCCTGTCGGTGCAATGTACCCTCCAGGCTCCGCATTTAGTACTCTGCACAAGCGCCACACACACCACACGAGAATCAAGAGGCAACTATAACCACATGATAAGAATTGGGCTCTCATGATGCATCGACAGACTTGGCCCCAGTCAAAGGAAGGAGCTTCGAGATGCCGCCATCTTGTATTATAAGTTGTCTTCAGCATTGATGATTTGATTCTGACAAAGTCAGACGGCAGCTGTACGCCTCATTGCTTGTTCTACTCACCGATTGCTTTGAACCACGAGGGTTCTGCGAGGGTTGATGGCTTCCGAGTCAACTCAAAGCGCTTGCACTCATAACTCACCAGTTGCTTTGAATCACGAGGATTTTGCGAGGGTTGATGGCGAACTTGCGGAGCCCATCGGCCTTTTGGCACACGGTCCTATCGACTCAACTCACCGGTTGCTTTGAATCACGAGGGTTTTGCGAGGGTTGCTAGCAAACTTGCGGAGCCCATCGGCCTTTTGGCACACGGTCTTGTCGCTGTAGCTGCTGTTCTCCCGGCAGTAGGGCTCCGGGTCCCGATACACCATCCGCTCCACCGCCCACTCGTCCCCTTCACTGCACGCGTTGTTGTGGGGATGGAGGAGATATCAGCTTTCAATGAGTACAGTAGAAAAGAACAAAGGCAAAAACGAAGAAGAGAGCACGCGCAGGAAGCCAGTCCCACCTGATATCGGGCAAGGGAGCGCAGCGATCCACAGAGAAGACAAAGCAGCCGAAGCTCACCCACGTCCACCCCTCCTCGCCCTGCCCCTGCCCCTGCCCCTGCCCCTGCCCCTGCCCCTGCCCTTTCCCATCAAGGAATGCTAGTAGCGAAAGCGCCTTGCTGCTGCTGGGGTCTGCCAGGAGCCCTCTGGGGAGGGTGGTATCTGCGGCAGCAGCATCTGTGGCTGTGAGAGTGGTGGAGGAAGAAGAGGACGTGGTGCCATATGTGGGGATACTGCTGCCGCTGGTGGTGGTGGTGGTGGTGGTGGTGGGGTAGTGTTTGGTGGTCAAGGGGTGCGGGATGGACATGTACTGGTCGAAGTCAAGGAAGAGCGTCCACTTGGAGAGGTGGCGCGTGCGGAAGATGCAGTCATTCATCGCCAGGAGCTGCAGGAGAGGACGAGCGGGGGACAAGAGATGCAGGGGTGGGAGGGGGCGTTGGGGGAAGCAAGGGAGGGGAGATGAGAGGGAGGTGCGGGGAAGAGAGAGGTCCACTTGAAGAGGTGGCGCGTGCGGAAGATGCAGGCGTTCATCGCCAGGAGCTGCAGGAGAGGAGGGGGGGAATTGAAAAGGGAGGGAGACCATGTGAATGGAGAAGCACGGGATGGGAGAGGGAGGGAGGGAGGAGAGGGGAGAGCGGCCACTTGGAGAGAAGGCGCGGGTGGAAGATGCAGTCGTTCATCGCCAGGAGCTGAGGGGGGGAGAGGGCGGGAGGGGGACAAGAGGTACAGGGGTGGGTGGGAGGGGGACAAGAGGTACAGGGGTGGGTGGGAGGGGGACAAGAGGTACAGGGGTGGGTGGGAGGGGGCGCTCAGGGGAAGAAGAGCGTCCACTCGGAGAGGTGCCGCGTGCGGAAGAGGCAGTCATTCCTTGCCAGGAGCTACAGGGGGAGTAGTAAAGAGACACAAAGCCAGACACATGAGCAAAGGAGGGCAACAGACGTAGAGATTCCCACACATGCCTGTGCACGCACGCACACACACAGCACATACAAACACAGCACATGATTTAGGAGGGGGGGGGGGAAAAAAAGCCTACCCACCTGTGCATGGTGGTAGCTCTCAAACCGGGCGGCCTCTCTGAGATCCACGATCTGCACTGTGCCGCCCTCCAGCAGCGAGTGCAGGGCGTGTCTCAAGGCAGTATCCACCCCCCCAGCGTCGTAGAGCAGGAAGAGGTCCACGCGGTGAACAGTGCCGTGGAAATCCACCCACTGCCGCACGCGGTCGGCGTGCGTCGGCTCGTATAGCGGCGAGGAGCAGTGTGTGAGGGCGTGGCTGGAGGTGGGGGAGGGGGAGTAGGGGGGGGAGGAGGGGGGAGTAGGGGCAGGCAGTGACTTTTTGGAGTGAGTCAAGAGACACCTGGCTAGTATGGCGGCGAGGGGCAGTGCATGAGGGCGTGAGGGGGGGGGGGTGGGGGAGGGGAATTAAGGGAGTGCTGGGGAGGGCGTGGGGAATTAAGGGAGTGCTGGGGGGGTGGGGACTGCGTGAGGGCGGGGCCGGGGGGTGGGGGAGGGGAATTAAGGAGGGGGCGCTGGGGGACGCAGGAGTGAGGAGTCTATTTTTGAGGCGCCTCAAAAGGAGGGGGTGCTGGGGGTGCAGGAGTGATGGAGGTGCAAGAGGGCAGAAAAGTGGGCTTGGCTGGCTGTAGAGGTGCTTGGGGGGGGATAAGGAGGGGGTGCAGGAGTGACGGAGGTGCAAGAGGGCAGAAGAGAAATGGGAGTGGGGCAATGAGTAAGCTATCTTAGGGCAAGTCATGGGTGCGCATGGCGTGTGGCAGGCAGGTCGTGCCCTGGCTCCTTCACCATCACCACCACCAGCGCCACAAAACAGAAATTTATATATACATATGTATATATATACATATATATATATGTTGCTAAGAGGAAACAGCATGTGATACTCACGGGAAGTCATGGGTGCGCATGGCGTGTGGCAGGCAGGTCGTGCCCTGCCCTGGCTCCTTCACCATCACCACAGCCCCACTCTCTCTCTTACACGAGCTCATGTGTGCTGCTATGTGACAAACTGCTGGTTCCGAAAATCACACATGGTATCGACTCACGGGAAGATTTTTGAGGCGCCTCAAAAAGATTTTTGAGGCGCCTCAAAAATCCGAAAATCACACATGGTATCGACTCACGGGAAGTCGTGCGTGCGCATGGCATGCGGCAGGTCGTGCCCCGGCTCCTCCACCATCACCACCGCCTCCCGCCCATCCACCGCCATCACCAGCCGGCCGCCGGATATCGGCCCCGTGGCCTCCTTTAGTGTGCACTGGAAGATCACCGCCTCGTACCGCATCTTAAAGCCCTCCCCGGGGTAGTGCACAGCAACTGTGCCCTGTATTGACCCTGGGGGATGCTTGGCCCCTGACGTTCCTCCTCCTCCTCGTCTTTCCCCTTCCGCCCCAGTTGCTCCTGCTCCTGCTGCTCCTGCTCCGGCTGCTGCTCCTGCTCCTGCTGCTGCTCCGGCTGCTGCTCCTGCTGCTGCTCCTGCTGCTCCTGCTCCGGCTGCTGCTCCGGCTGCTGCTCCGGCTGCTGCTCCTGCTCCTGCTCCTGCTGCTGCTCCTGCTGCTCCTGCTCCGGCTGCTGCTCCGGCTGCTGCTCCGGCTGCTGCTCCGGCTGCTGCTCCTGCTGCTGCTCCTGCTGCTGCTCCTGCTGCTGCTCCTGCTACTCGTTCTCCACCTGTACCTTTTGCTGCTGCTGCTGCTGCATTACTTGCTTTGGCTGCTGCTGCACTACTTGCTTTAGCTGCTGCTGCTGTCTTCGGAGCCATTTGAGGCTGTTTGTTGCTACCCCCTTGCATTGTCTTACTCCCTCCCTCTCCCCGACCCTCCACTCCCCCACCTCCCTTGCCTGTGGCTTCCTTCAAAAGCTTACCACCCTTCTCAGGTACGCCAAGAGAAGCCTTACCACCCTTCTCAGGTACGCCAAGAGAAGCCTTACCACCCTTCTCAGGTACGCCAATAGAAGCCCTACCACCCTTTGCAGGCACACCACCCTTCGCAGGCACACCGGCACTCCCTCTTTTGGCTCTTCCGCCTGCCTTCTCCTCCTCCCTCCTCTCCCCGCCTACCTTCCCTCCTTCCTTCTCTCCTCGATTTCCCCGCCCACTGCCCCCGCCTGCCTCGCGGCCTTTCTTTCCCTGTGCTTTCTGCTGCTCCGTCGCCCTCATTTCAGCCTCCTTTTCCGCATCCTTCTTCTCCTTAACCGCCTCTTCGGCAGATGAATGCACGAGCATCCCCTGCTCACGTCCCTTCTCCCCAGTCCCCCCCTCTTCCGCCCTCTTCCCACTTTCTCTTCCCTCCTCCGCTCTCCTGACCCCCTTCTTTTCCCAATGCACCACATGCGCCCTTTTCACCCCAGTCTTCCTCCCTTGCGCTGCCCTTCCCCCCTCCCCCACCCTTTTACCCTGTCCGCCCCCCTTGCCCTTCCCATCCCCCTTACCCTGTCCTCCCCCTTTACCACTCCCCTTAACCTGCAACAGGTGCCGAGAGACACCACGGGTACCGTGATTGCCACGTGTATCATGATTGCCACGTGTACCATGAGTGGAATGCGATGCGGGCAGCGTCGGCTCCCATCTGCCTAAACGCGGCGGGAATGGGCGCACGTGATTTGGGAAAGGGGGGCAGAAAGAATGGGAAGAGCAGTGAGGGGAACGTTCTTGAGACGTCTCGCCCCTTGCACCCCGCCCATTGCAGTGAGGGGAAGAGCAGTGAGGGGGAGAGCAGTGAGGGGAACGTTCTTGGGACGTCTCGCCCCTTGCACCCCGCCCATTGCAGTGAGGGGGAGAGCAGTGAGGGGAACGTTCTTGAGACGTCTCGCCCCTTGCACCCCGCCCATTGCAGTGAGGGGAAGAGCAGTGAGGGGGAGAGCAGTGAGGGGAACGTTCTTGAGACGTCTCGCCCCTTGCACCCCGCCCATTGCAGTGAGGGGGAGAGCAGTGAGGGGAACGTTCTTGAGACGTCTCGCCCCTTGCACCCCGCCCATTGCAGTGAGGGGACGAGCAGTGAGGGGGAGAGCAGTGAGGGGAAGAGCAGTGAGGGGAACGTTCTTGAGACGTCTCGCCCCTTGCACCCCGCCCATTGCAGTGAGGGGGAGAGCAGTGAGGGGAACGTTCTTGAGACGTCTCGCCCCTTGCACCCCGCCCATTGCAGTGAGGGGACGAGCAGTGAGGGGGAGAGCAGTGAGGGGGAGAGCAGTGAGGGGAACGTTCTTGAGACGTCTCGCCCCTTGCACCCCGCCCATTGCAGTGAGGGGACGAGCAGTGAGGGGGAGAGCAGTGAGGGGGAGAGCAGTGAGGGGAACGTTCTTGAGACGTCTCGCCCCTTGCACCCCGCCCATTGCAGTGAGGGGACGAGCAGTGAGGGGGAGAGCAGTGAGGGGAAGAGCAGTGAGGGGAACGTTCTTGAGACGTCTCGCCCCTTGCACCCCGCCCATTGCAGTGAGGGGGAGAGCAGTGAGGGGAACGTTCTTGAGACGTCTCGCCCCTTGCACCCCGCCCATTGCAGTGAGGGGACGAGCAGTGAGGGGGAGAGCAGTGAGGGGGAGAGCAGTGAGGGGAACGTTCTTGAGACGTCTCGCCCCTTGCACCCCGCCCATTGCAGTGAGGGGACGAGCAGTGAGGGGGAGAGCAGTGAGGGGGAGAGCAGTGAGGGGAACGTTCTTGAGACGTCTCGCCCCTTGCACCCCGCCCATTGCAGTGAGGGGACGAGCAGTGAGGGGGAGAGCAGTGAGGGGAAGAGCAGTGAGGGGAACGTTCTTGAGACGTCTCGTAAAAGTGGGGGCAGGAGGAATGGGCGGCGGGCGCCCACACGTGATTCGGATGAGGGGATAGGCAGGAGAAGAGCATTGACGGGAGAAGTGAGTAGAGAGATGAGAATGAGTGAAAGAGGGTGCGAGAGGTGGAGGAGGCAGGGGGCGGAGGGGGGAGAGGGAGAGAGTTGGGGGGGGGAGAGATAGAGAGTTGACGAGGAGGCATCATCACATCACCCAGCTCCAGAAATACTGAAACACAGCTTACCCGTGCACGCACCCCGCCCCTTGCACCCCACCATGCGCGCTATACACACATAGACAAGCTTGAGGCTGACGTCCCCATCACGCCACGTCACCTGCACGAGTTGGCACGTGGCAGCGAGTGCAGCGCCATGGGGGAGAGGCCGAGCACCACGAAGGACGACAGGTTCAGCCGGTAGCTGCTGTACAGCACGAAGCCCTGCAGCCCGTGGCCTGTGCTGACGTGGCGCCGCTTGATTGGCAGAGAGAACCGCTCCGCATCCTCGTTTAGAAGCTTTGCGACGTTCTGGTCAGCGTTGCACCAGAAAATTTGAGGGAGAGGGAGGGGGGAGGAAGGGGGTGGTGGAATGCGGATAGGGAGAGAAGGGGTGGAGGGCGATGGGGATTGCGAGAAACGGGAGGAAGGGGAGGAGGGGAGAGGGAGGGGGGAGGTAGGGTGTGGTGGTAGAGTGGGGATTGGGAGAGGGGAAGAAGAGAGAAGGTGAGGAGGGCGATGGGGATAGGGGGAGGTTGGGGAGGGAGCGCCCAGAGGATAACAGGGGCGGCATGGGAACAAGAGCGTGAACAGTAGATGAGAATGACCGGGCAATAGACACATGAGATATGCAAGAGGGTGAGGACCTCTCAAGAAGTGCCGCACCATTCTCCAGCCAGGTCGTACCTTATCCGGGTCCTACATACTCCAGGTCGTACATTATCCAGGTCGTACCTTATCCGGGTCGTACCTAATCCGGGTCGTACCCTATCCAGGTCGTACCCTATCCAGGTCGTGCCCTATCCAGGTCGTACCCTATCCAGGTCGTGCCCTATCCAGGTCGTACCCTATCCATGTCGTACCCTATCCAGGTCGTACCCTATTTAGGCCGTACAGTATCCACCTCCTACCTCTGCCTGAATGCCGTCTTCTCGTCGCCATCGTTGCTTAGCCGCGCTCCACAAGCCGCCTCTTTTCCGCCTAGACCGCCATGCCACGTCAGCAGCAGCTCTCGAGAAGGGATCCTGATCATCCGTGTCACTAATTCCTGGACCTGGCGATCTAAATGTTAATAGTGGGTGGAGGAACAGCAACGCGAGATTGGTAACGGCTAAGATAACTACGAGATGCCGGCTGCAGTCTCTTTTGTGCTCGGATCGCGTCGTCGAGCCGCGGCTTCCCAACGGCCCCGTCTTCGCTGGCGCGTTGGACCGCCATCTGCCCACATTTCCGCGGATGCCGGAATTTCGGGTTACATGAGAGAACATGTGACTACAACGACAAATTGCCCAGTCCTTTCAGGAAGTTTCTAGCGGGTCGACTTAGATTGTACGCACAGTGATTTGATTCCAGAAAAAACCCCAAGAAAAGCAGTTTGTCGATGCACTTCTCTCAAATTGCGACGAAGCGTTCTGGGTGACGCTGCCGTTGGATCAGTCAGCGATCAGAATAAGGAGCACATGGCTCCCTGATCCGCCTGATTCGGCCTCATGGCTTATTGCGAATGGTCGTGTGACTGGTGAGGATGAGTGAGGCTGCGGAGAAAGGATGAAACAGTTGGCGTCACAGGGTGGGTGAGGGCTAAAAGCTTGTGGTGAAACACGTCCTTATTGGGAGAGTCGAAATTGTATCTAGGTTTGTTTTTGCATGATAAGTGGCAAACCCGTTTCACTGCTTTTGCAGGAACATATCACCACATGATAATTACGTGGCTTGCACAATGTCGAGAGTGATCATGTAACGAGTCATTTGAGCTGTCGAAAGTGACCATCTACGCGGCAGCATGGTATTGGTCACTCAATGGCACCTCGCTCTAGAACTGAACGATGTTTTTTCGCTAGTTCACTTCCCTTTCCTCCCGCTGCTTGCTCGGGGGACTTGTCTTGTCATGTCACAGCCAGGGCTTATGCTAGGCCCTAGGGAGTTTCGGAGGGTCCCGAGATCCAGAAGTACCCTGAATTTTCCGGATCCCAAGGAAATCTCACCCAGAATCCTTCCGAGTTCTCGCCATAGAAACCCTGCCAAAGGTCGTGTCAGTCATCTCCCATGATGTGTGCAGAGAACATGACTAGGCTGATTGGCTGAAGTCCTGAAATCGTCCAAGTACCTTTTGTGATTCGAGACGTGCCACCACGCTGTGGAATGGAAGTTCTCCTGACAGAGCTCCATGCTACGAGACTAGTTCGTCAGGTTTCATGAAAATAGTACACGGAATGGATCAGGATTTCAAGGAGAATCTAGTCGGGAACATTCATGGTTTCGGGAAATCCCGACCTGTTAAAATCCAGGTTCGGGGATTAAACAACTCTCAATTTCTCGACATTTAGGGTAGCTACCCTTCTAGCGTAAGCCCTGGTCACAGCCCGAACCCAGCTCGACTGGACCTTCGATTGGCTACAGTCTTCCGCAGGAGGAAGTACACTGTGCATGTTGCTCACGAGGCGCGTCAGCAGACCTCCAGGGGAACTCCGCCCACCCGTTCATCCTACTGTACACGCACTCTCTGCAAGCTCCTGAAAAAACTTCGGCTCGACCAACACCAATTTCATGTCTGAAATTCCGTTGTTCCGAGCTTGGATGACAGGCTGATGTGTGCAGGCTTGTCCTCCGAGATCAGGCCAGGTCCTCCCAACAACAGTTTTTTAAATAAAGGACCACGAAACTTAGGCCTGGCTAGGCCACTATTTCGTGTCCAAATCGTTCGTTTACAGCTCACTCCGCACGGTCTACTTTGGTGCGGAACGTTCCAAAGCGGTGAAGCGAGAGAAGCCTTCTCCATCACGTGGTATCTTACTGAAACGTGGTACACGAATAGTCCCTCGTAAACTTTTATAAATTTCAGGGTGTGTTGAATAACTACCGTTATATTTGCCGCTCGGTACGGTCATATACCACGAAACAGCAAGTCACATCACATGATCACATCGTCAGGTCACTATCACTTGCTGTTGGTGAGTGCCCAATGGACACGCACCTCTTGCCCTTTCGATTCTTCAGCCCATCTCCATCCAGCACAGCACAACCACCAGACCAAGGGGATCGAACGGCCGATAACTCTTCGTGGGGGGTGGTGGGGGAGACAACGGTGGGAGGGGAGGGAGGGGGGGTCTAGGCATCTTTGACATGCTGACGACAACAGGTAGGCAACGATGAGCATCCAACCAAACCCAACCCAACCTGGATCTGCAGCACTGAAGTTGTGGCTTCGCGGCGACTTTTCGCGCCCACTCCGCGCTCCGCCACCGTCTTTCACCCCGAGGATGCTTTTGCTTTCCCCCTTTACAGCACTCCCCCCAAACGCGAAAACCGAAACCCTCCGCTCCGCTAACTCTTTTCCGCCAGTCGGTCAGGATCCAGATCGTAGAGAGTCCGAAGCGCACAGGATGAGACGTTTGTCCTTTTTCGCATCCAGCAGCAATGCACTACCGTCCAAAGTCTGCTAATGCGGGGCAAACTGCACGAGGCGGTGGCGCGTGAATGGGGATGAACTGGGTTTCCGGCGTCCACAGTAAACGCAGCCCCCCCCACCATGCACACCACCACACAGCTCAATGATCGAGCCCCAATTCCTACTCCTCCGCCTTCCCCTTTTTCCGCGCGATGGAAACCGCGGCGCGAGGTTGTGTTGGGGGGCCGTGGAGAGCTGAGATGGGTGGGACGGCCGTGACGCCACGGGGGGAATGGGGGGGCGGGCAAGAACACAAACCGGGGTCAGGGGAGATTCGATGACACCGAGGTGAGAGGGAGAGAGAGAAGGGAGACAGGGACAGTAGGCACAGGCGCGCAGGAAGAGGATGGGGGGATATGAAATTCTAGGGGGAGGGGGACTTTATGGCGGGTACTGTATTGTACTGTGCTGGATAGCAAGCACCAAACCAACCCCGCATCGAGGGGAAACGGAGAGGCCAGGCCAGCATAACGGAACGAAAGGGTGAACAGCATGGAGGGACGAGGGAGGGAGACTTGCTAGGGGGGAGAGAGAGAGAAAGGGAGAACAGCAGGGAGTCGATGGGGGGAGGGGATGGGGCTGGGGGGATGGATGAACGTGGATTGAGAGATGGTCGAAAGGGGAAGACCAAACCAGTGCTGATTGAACAAGACGGGTTGAAAATTGGGATGGATGGAACAGTCGAGCAGACAGACAGCAGCGCCCAGCAGAGGGCTGGATGGCAGCGCTGGAAGATTGGCCCTGGCTGAGCTGAGCTGCCTTCATCCCAACCCAAACTCGCAGGGGAAACCCAGCCCAACCCAAACAGAGGATCGAAGAACCCAGCCAGTAGCAAACACAACCTCAGCCAAAAGCCACACCCAAAAGCCACAGCCATAACTCACAAGACAAGGAGCAATTTCTGAACCCACACCAGCCCAGCTCAGCCCAAGCACCTCAAAACTGCCATGCCATGGCAGGGAGCCGGTACCTGCACTGCGGCCTTAGAGTTCACGATGCGTACGCGTAGTATAATAGCTGTCGCTGGCGCCGCGTTGATTAATTCCCGAACCTCATGTACCAACCGCTCTTCCCGCAAAGTTTTTAATCTACACGGGAACCGCTAGATCCTTTACTGCCGCTCACATCCGCCTCCCCTGTCCACTTCTTCCATTTCCGTGCTCCTCTCCTTCATTTTCGGCTTCACACATACGGGTAGTAGCCTATCTGATTCTTCCCTCATCCATCGCCGTCTTCTTGCTAAAATGGCGTCGAATCGCGTCGATTCTTCGCGAGCGGGCAAACCGGAAAAGCCAGCGTCGATTGTGACAAAATCCCCTGGTCGAGCACGAGCGAATCGCGTCGCATCGAAGAATCGGCCGCCGCTGCCAGCGCTGATGCCTGACGCTCCTCCAGCCAAGAACGCGGTGATCGCCCAGAAGCCGGAAGCCGCGGGTGGCGGGGGAGAGGCGAAGCGCGTCCGCAACGGAAAGCGCGAACGGCCGTCATCTGCCAATGGCGCACCGGTGACGAACGGCAAGAAGAACGGCAAGGAGCCGGCGACGACTCAGAAGGCGGCTCCTGGGAAAACTGGTGAACTCGCGGCGACGGGAACGAAAGGGAAGGCGCCTTCTAATAAGGCGCAAGGCAAACGCCCTCTTGAAGGCTCTTCGGCGGAAGGAGCGACGACGAAGGCTCCAGCGACAGAGCACCGCTCAAAGACGACGAAAGAGCCGGCCATTGCGAAGGCTCAGGGTGCGAAAGGCTGCGACGGCGCGAAGCAGGCGGCGAAACAGGCTGCGACGTCGCCATCGTCGCCGTCGTCGTCGCCGGCCTGCCAGTCGGCTCAAGAGCGATCCAAGATCCTGAAAACAGTACGTCGTCTACCGTTAATGCCGCTCACTGGTAGTGTCTCATCCCTCTCCGCCACCGGAGGGGCTAGTCATTAGAGGCGATGCTCGGCTCGATAGAGGCGATGCTCAAGAGCGTTTTTAGATCCTGAAAGCAGCACGCCTCGTACTACCGCTTTTGTTTCACCCCTCTCCGCCACGGGAGGGGCTCGTCGTTAGAGGCGATGCTCGACTCGTTAGAGGCGACGCCCAAGAGCGATTTTAGATCCTGAAAGCAGTACGTCCGAGCTGCTTATGACCAGCTCGACTCCTCGCCCCCATGTGTTATTTCTCCGCTTGAGATCTCAACGACGACACTGCGATTAGCCGTTAGTAGTCTCACATCACGAGGCGACGGCTGCTTAGAAGCAGGCTCGATGGCCCATAGTGTACCTCATTGATCTACTTGTATGGTTGCGCCAGGTCATCGTCAGGCATGCCGCTGCTCGTCCAGTTGCGTGCAGAGCGTACTACTTTCAAGACGTCTCAACATTTTTAGGACGTCCAAGTCGGAAAACCAAGGTTGCGCCATAGTTCGATAGCATCGTCAGACATGCCGCTGCTCGTCCAGTTGCGTGCAGAGCGTATGTTCCAAGCTTCTCGTTATCACGTCGCCCAGCTAGTGGGTCAAGTAGACGACATTCTTCAGCGTCGATCCTTCTGTGGCCATCCGTTCCTTCTCTGCTACCCGTACTCTGAGCGATCACTAGCTACGTCGGTCGTTGGATCTCTAGAAGATTCGCCGCGTGAGCTTGAACTAGACTAGAGTGTTCTTAAATTGCTTCCTCCCTTTCTCGCAGAGAGGAAGTGCCCAGATCTCAGGGCGGTCGTTAGCTAGAAGGGGCCCGGAAAATCAAATCTTCTAGCTGAGTCGATTGTCGAAGACGCTTGGAGGAGTAAGGAGGGGAACTTCTTAGCTTGCCGCGTTGGAATTTCTCGCTTCGCATCCGTCCTTTCTGCTGATAGTTTTCGCGCTGCTCCTCGCGTCCGTGGCGTCCTCGTTCCGTGACAGTTCTCTGCTGCCGTTCGAAGCTCCTTGCGCCGCTCCTTGCTCCGCTCCTTGCGCCGCTCATTGCGCTGCTCCGTGCTCCGCTCCTTGCTCCGCTCTTTGCGACGCTCCTTGCGCCGGTCATGGCGCCGCTCCTTGCTCCGCTCCTTGCGCCGCTCCTTGCGCCGTCGCCCACCCGCTATGTTTACCCTCGCAGCGGCAGCCTCACTTTTGTGTTCGCCTCCGTCGCACGTTACCCGTGTATCCTCCCCCGTGGCAAAGCGGCAGCCCAGGAGCCCCGAGGTGGTTTTCAAGCTCCTCAAAACTGCTGCCTTCCCTCACCTGCACTGTTCGCCCCTGTCCCGCCGTCCCGCTGCCCCAATGTCCCGCCGTCACACTGCCCCCCTGGCAGGCGCTGCTGAACATGGCGAAGCGGCAGCCAGAGAGCCCCGAGGCGGTTTTGGAGTGCCACAAAACTGCTGCGTTCTCTTACCTGCTCTGTTCGCCCCTGTCCCGCCGTCCCCCGGTCCCGTTCACGCACTGTCTCCCGCCTCGCAGGCGCTGCTGAACATGGCGAAGCGGCAGCCCAAGAGCCCCGAGGTGCACTTCTTCCTCGCGCTGCACTTCCTCCGCGACCACCTCCCCGCCAAGGTACGCGCGCACGGCTTCCGCCGCAGGTATGCGCGCAAGTCTTCCGCCGACGTATGCGCGCACGCTTCCGCCGAGTTACGCTCGCGGCTTTCCGCCAGCGCCATTCCGCTCATGGACGCGCGCACGTTTCCGCGTTCCAGGGGGGTATGCGCGCGCTCGCAAGCTCCTCTAGCCATTCCGCCAGACATTCCGTCAGCCATTCCGTCAGCCGTCCGCCAGCCATTCCGCCAGCCATCCGCCAGACATTCCGTCAGCCATTCCGCCAGCCATTCCGCCAGCCATTCCGCCAGCCATTCCGCCAGCCATTCCGCCAGCCATTCCGCCAGCCATTCCGCCAGCCATTCCGCCAACCATTCCGCCAACCATTCCGCCAGCCATTCCGCCAGCCATTCCGCCAAAGTACGCGCGTTATGTTCCGCGAGCGCCATTTTCTCGGGGTAGACGCGACTTGACTGGCAGGTATTCTCATGCGGACCAATCAGCCAAGAGATGCAAGGTCAGTGTCCCATTCTGCCAATGGCCGGTTCACCATCCTACCATGTGCCCTCCGTTATCCGCCATTGTCCAGGCATTGGCTGCGTTTGAAGCGGTGGCGGCAGCAGTGGGGGCTGCCAGAGGAGAGAATATCGCAAGCTAGGAGGGACATGCACTTGGTCCTTCTTTCCCGTCATGCCAATGGCCTCGCATTGACCCCACTCTCATTTCCTTCCTGCCCTCCCCTTTTCGGTGTCTTCCCGTCCCGTCATGTCATGTCGTGTCGTGCCGTGTCCCGTCCCGTCCCGTCCAGGCATTGGCTGCGTTTGAAGCGGCGGCGGCAGCAGTGGCAGCACTGCCAGAGGAGAGAATATCGCAGGCTAGGAGGGACCTGCATTCTGCTGCTCACCGCCACATGGCGCAGGTCCGTTGGCTGCTTACTGGTTCCTGATCCTCCAATTATTGGTTCCCTGTTGGACTCTGCATTCGTTTGCTTTGCTTTGAGCGCGGTCACTGGGATAATGTCCGACGGTCCGACAATTGTTGGCTCCCTGTTGGACTCTGCATTCGTTTGCTTTGCTTTGAGCGCGGTCACTGGGATAATGTCCGACGGACCGACAATTGTTGGCTCCCTTTTGGACTCTGCATTCGTTTGCTTTGCTTTTTAGCGGAGTCACTGGGATAATGTCCGACGGACCGACAATTGTTGGCTCCCTTTTGGACTCTGCATTCGTTTGCTTTGCTTTGAGCGCGGTCACTGGGATAATGTCCGACGGACCGACAATTGTTGGCTCCCTTTTGGACTCTGCATTCGTTTGCTTTGCTTTTTAGCGGAGTCACTGGGATAATGTCCGACGGACCGACAATTGTTGGCTCCCTGTTGGACTCTGCATTCGTTTGCTTTGCTTTGAGCGCGGTCACTGGGATAATGTCCGACGGACCGACAATTGTTGGCTCCCTTTTGGACTCTGCATTCGTTTGCTTTGCTTTTTAGCGGAGTCACTGGGATAATGTCTGACGGTCCGTTTGCTTTGGAGTGATGCAAGGATCAGCTTGTCCCCTCGTCTCCTCCCATTTCTCGCCTTTGTCTGCCTGCCCTGCAGTGTCATTTGGAAATGGCTATGCTCGCTGCACCCGGTGCTCCTTCTGATGCTGACCAACTCCAACACCAACACCAACACCACATCCCGATACAGCAGCAGCAGCTTGCGCAGCACTCAAAGGATGCGGATGCGTCTGCTCGGACCGTGGCAGCAGGGCAGAAGCAAAGCAGCTCCAAGGCGCAGGCCAAGGCGCAACCCACGGCGCAGCCAAAAGCACAAGCAAAAGCACAAGGAAAAGCGCCACCCAAGGGGCGAAGAGGGGTGCAAAGGTGGCGCAGCAGCAAGCGCAGGCGAAGGGGGGGAAGGGGGGAAAGGGAGAGAAGGCAGGAGGGAGGGCGAGTGGCAACAGCACGCACAAACGGAAGCAGGAGGCGGAATCTGCTCTCGAGGCGCCGAGGGCCGAACACAGTATGCTCAGAGTGGCGGAGGGTGCCGACGCTAGTGGGAAAAGGAGGTTCGGGGGGGCGGGAGAGGGAGGTGGCTTGGAGGGTGTGGATGGGGAGGAGGGGAGTGAGAGGGGGAGGAAGAGAGTGCGGAGTGCTCTGGACATGTTTGCGGCAGTGGCTGACCTGGAGTCGAGGAAGGAGGAGAGGAAGGAGGAGGAGGGGAAGCGTGGTTTTGAGACGTCTCAAACCGAGGTGACTTTTGAGGCGTCGCAATTTGAGACGGCTGCCGATACTTCTATCGCTCTGGACATGTTTGCTGCGGTGGCTGACCTTGAGTTGAGGAAGGAAGAGAGGCGGAAGCAGGAGGGTCAGGGACAGGCCTCTGCCCCTGCGCCTATACAGACACGGAGTGGCCTGCCAAAGGGAGAGGCGGAAAGGGAGGAGGAAGAGATGGAGAGGGAGGAGGGAGGCGCTGGTGAGCAGATGGGGGGGGAGTGGATGTGGAGTGCGGTGGGGATGGGTCAGAGGGTGGATGGGAGGATGTGCATAGAGGGGGTGTGGGGAGGCATTTGTGGGGGAGGAGAAGGTGAGGGAGGAAAGTGTGGAGGAGGACGGAAGAGAGGTGGATGAGGAGGAGGAGGAAGAGGAGGAGGAAGAGAGGGAGGAAGAAGGTGTTGTGATTCGCAATGTGATGCGTCATTTGACGCTGGCTGCTGCAAATGATCGCTCTTCTGCCATCGCTGCTGCCACCGCCACCGCCGCTGCTGCTGCTGCTGCTGCTGCTGCAGATGGTCCGGGTGGTGTAGCTGCGGACGCGAATGGATCTGCAGCGCATGCAACTGGTATACCACCTGCTGCTGCTTCTGCAACTGCTGCTGCTGCTGCTGCAAATCACACGGAAGGGCAGACAGTGACAGACTCCGTTGCAGGAGTGGGTGCTGCGCTCACCAGTGGTGAGGTTGAAGCCAGCGGTGCGGGTGCCAGTGGTGCTCCAAATGACAGTGGTGCGCCCAGTGCCATTGTGGGTGTGAAGACACCACTGGCGGAAGGAGGAGGGATGGCTACTCTCAACCAACTGGCTGTCACGCTCTTGCTGTACGGCCGAACAGAGGTGTGTGCTCTTGCTGTACGGCCGAACAGAGGTGTGTGCTGTTGCTTGCTTCACTTCCTTACTTTCTCTCCCTCTATCAACTCATCCTGCTTAACCATTCTCCTTTCTCTCTGCGTCCCCTCACCCCGCGCCTCCCCCTCCCCTGTGTCTCCCCCTCCCTCGCGCCTCCCCCTCCCCCGCGTCCCCCACACCCTCGCATCTCCCCATCCCTCGCGTTTCCCCATCCCTCGCGTCTCCCCATCCCTCGCGTTTCCCCTTCCCTACGACTCTCGGCCTGTGCATTGCAGAAAGCCCTAGAGGTCCTGTCGGACCAGTTGGCACTCATTGGCCTCAGCAGAAGCGACGGTGGTGGGAGCCCCAGCACCAGCGCCACAACCCCTTCTGTCCCTTTTGACACAGACTCCCTTGCCAATCTTGCCGCGGCTCTGCTGCATGTGTACGTATCTTTGCACCATGTGCCTTTCTGTTCTCCTGCTGCACTGCACCGCATGCACCTTGTTATGCCTGTCGGTTTGAGTGTGTGTGCATGCCACCTGGCTTGCGGCTGGAGGCGGCAGCATGTCTGCAGGTGGTGCTGCAGAGGGAGCCGCAGCACCCTGCCGCTCTCTGCTCTTACTCCGCCCTGCTACTCGCCACATAGCATCATCCAACTAATACCCCACCCCACCCACCCACCCCCCCCCCTCCCCGGCCCCTCTCTTCCCCCAACCAGAGGGAGGTACGAGGAGGCGGCAGCGTGTCTGCAGGCAGTGCTGCGGAGGGAGCCGCAGCACCCTGCCGCTCTCTGCTCCTACTCCGCCCTGCTGCTCGCCACACAGTGTGGCCACGGCAGGAAGGTTGGTCGCATGCAGCAGCAGGGACGGCAACAGCGGCAGCAGCGGCAGCACGAGGAGAAGGAGAAGGATCGAGCTCTGGTTGTTGGTGCTGATGTGACGGAGTCAGCAGCTAGTGAGGCAGCGGCAGCGGCAGCAGGGGTGTCAGCGCAGCAGTGTGCAGCAGCAGCAGTGCAGCTGCTGCCCAGTTGTGCCTTCCTCTGGTGCAACCTCGCCCATGCTGCCACCCGCACTGGCAGCTGGAAGCATGCCGCAACTTGCATGTCCCAGGTAAAACACTCGTAGATGTTTTTGAGAATTCCAAAAGAAGCACTTGCCATACCTTCTCCCTCTCGTTCCCCTTGTCGTCCCTTTTTCTTTACCCAAAATTCGGTGTATTCCCGATGTAAACCTGGCTTTATGGTTCCTTTGCAGGCTCTCAAGCTACAGCCCTCCAGCACGCCTCTTCGCTTTGCAGCAGCAGCCCACCGCATTGCCTCTGCGGCCGCCGCCCCTCTGCCGCTGGCCCTGGCCACTCGCCTCATCCGGTGCAGCGTTGAGGAGGTGGCGGACTTGCTGGGGGTGCCAGCACTGGCGTATGGGGTCAACGAAGTCAACGGAGTCAATGGGGTGAATGGGGTGAATCGGCTGCACCACCAGCGCGCACTGGCACATGTCCCCAAGTGGATGGCATGGGAGGTCGTGGCACATGCGCATGCTGTTATCGAGCGGAGGGCGCTAGAAGAATTTGTGACTAAACGGGGGGAGTTTGTGACAGAAGGGGAGGAGCTGGTGACAGTATCGGGGTGTGCTGTAAAGAGTGAGAATATGGAGGAGGCTGGGGTAGTGGAAGAGGAGGCAAAGGGTGAGGAGCCAAAGGGTGAGGAGGGATGCAAAGAGGAGGAGGGGGGGGGTGGGAGTGGGGAGGTGGTGGATGAGGAGTTGGCATGTGTTGTGGTGCAGGCAGAAGAGCTCAAGCTGGCAGCGTGGCAAAAGCAGGTGAGGGAGATGGGCTGCTGATAGGCAGGTTAGATACAGCGAGATATGTGGAGGGGCTTTGCTGTCCCACGCATGTTTCAAAGTGGGTGTACGTGCTGCTTTGAAACACCCGAACGCTTAATGCTTGCATGCTGATTTGGCAGTCTCGTGATCCTCACCTCTCCTCTTCCTCTCGTCTCGTCCTCCCGCCCCCTCTTTTGAGTCGACTCAAAAGTCACCTCTTCCTCTTGTCTCGTCCTCTCGCCTCCCTCTTTTCAGGCGCTGACTGCAGCAGCAGGAGCAGGAGCAGGGAGCGGGGCCCATCAGCTGGCTGTGCATGCGCTGCACTCTGCGATTGAGTCGCGCTCTTTTGACGTGGGGGTGCTGCTGAGATGAGAAATGATGCTCAAAAGGGAGGTGACGCTGTCATGGCACTTGAGCCTTCGTCCACGGTGCAATTTGCTACAGCTCGCTCGCATTTCCTCAGAGCTCTGGCAACTAACCAATGGTCCCCTGCCACGTGGACCTCTCTTGGTAAGTTCCAAAGCACAATGCTCGCTTCTGCAGACCAAGAAAGAAGCTGCTTCACTTGCATACTCGATTCGTACAGCCTTCTCTCGGTAGAACTATTAAGTGTCTAAGTGTTGACATGTGTGTGTTTCTTCTGCTCCCAACGCCCTATGCAGGCCTCGGCTTGCAGCTTTCGGGCCGCCTAGACGAATCCGAAGCAGCATATACCCGTGCGCTACACTGCTCACCATTGCACAGTGGCCCTCCCCCTCCTCCTCCCCCTCCGTCTGCTCCTCCTCCTTCTCTGACTCCTCCTCCCCATTCTTCCCCCCATGTGACCTGGGCCAACCTCTCTCTCCTGCTGCGCGCCCAGGGCCGCCTCTCAGACGCCCTCTCTGCTGCACACAGCGCCCTCCTCCTCGCCCCGGCGCACGCCCCTTCCCTCTGCAGCCTCGGCCTGCTCTCTGCTGCTGCTGGCCGCTGGACTGATGCCGCGGACGCCTTTCAGAGGGCTAGCCAGACTCTTGGAGGGTTTAAGGGGGGTTGGAGGGAGAGGGAGTGGAAGCTGTGATGGAGGGAAGGGATGAGTTGGGAGAGGGAAGGGGTGGGGTGGGAGAGGGGTGTGGGTTTGGTGTTGGTGGGGTGGTGGAGGTGGATGAAGCTGTGAGAGAGGCTGTGAGGGTGAATCTGCAGGTGGCTCTCAAGTGGCAAGCGCGGGCGGAGGAGGGAAGACGGAAGGTTGAGAGGAAGAGGCAGGAGAGGGAGGAGAGAGAGAGGCTGAAGGCTGAGAGGGCGGCCAGGAAGGAGGCGAAGGAGGTTCAGAAGCAGCAGAGGCTGGAACGGCGGGCGCAGAAGGAACAAGAGAGGAAGGAAAGGGCGGCTAAGTGTGAAGAAAAGAAGGTGCAAAAAGAGCAGAAGAGGTGTGAGCGAGAACTGCTGCTTCAGAGAAGCAAGGAGCAGCAGAAGGTTCAGCTCCTGGCTGATTTTCGTACTTGTGGTGCCATGGATATCGCTCCTGCTGCCCCCGCTGCTGCTGCAGAAGCTGCAGCCTTGGGTGCTGCTCCGAAGGCCGCACTGATGGATCTGAATGAGATGTGCGATGATGAGGGAGATCTTTCTTCTTTGGGGGCAGTGACTGCTGAGGCAGCTGTGAGCGGTGCGGAGAAGCCCCGGGATAAGGGCGCGGCGTTGAGACCAACAGAGGAGCGAAGTGCAGAGCTGGAAATCAAGAAAGAAGCAGGGACGATAGTTGGGGGGGTCAAGGAGGAGGTCTCTGGAACAGGTTCAGCATCGCAGAGCAAGGAATACCAGTCCTTTGCACACAATGTTGCTGCGTCTGGATTTTCCTGGGAAGTGTTCAAGCTACCACGGCCTGTCACGCTCCCCTCAAATGGTGCCACGCTTCCCTCTGCTGCTGTGATCATGCCTTCTTTCGGCTCGGGTCAAACCTTCCAGCAGCAGCAACCACAGCAGCAGCAGTTGCAACAGCAACCACAGCAGCAGCAGGCACAGCAGCAGCAGCAGTGGCACCTGGGCCAACAACCGCAGCAGCAGCAGCAGCATCAGGTGTTTAGACCCAGCCAAGATATGGGTGGGATGCAGCAGTTAAGTCATGCAGGGTCTGGGGCAGAAAAGAGGAAGTGGGAGGCCAACGGGGTCTCGGGCAGGTTAAATGTTACCACCGGCGCCTACCACATGGCAGCTGCTTGCAGGAATGGCATGAGGGAAGCCGCACCTGAGGCTGCTTGGAAGACACGTGCATCTTCCGCAGCAGCTAACCCAGCACAAAGCAACCCAGCACTGAACAAGTCAGCACCAGCTAGCCCAGCACCAGCCAACCCAGCACCGGCCTACCCAGCACCGGCCTACCCCTCATCATCTGGTGCCAGCATGACGCCGAAACGCAGAGTATTGCTGGACCTGGAAATGCCAGCCTGTGAGCTCTCCGAAACGGGGAGTGGGGGAAACATGCCTCTGGGAGCGAGCACTCCCTGTGGAGGTAACAATCCTGGTGGAGGTAACACGCCTTATGGAGGGGCGATGCCTGGTGGGATGAATGCTCCTTATGGAGGGAGCACGTTTCCGGGGGGGGACAGTCACAGTTTTTACGGAGGTGGTAGTGCAGCCCTGGGGCATGCAGCACTGGGGCAGGAGGCTGGACAAAGGGCACAGCAACCAGAGATCACCTCGGATCAGGCTGCTGAGCATGTGGTGAATGCATTTCACGTGGTGCCTCGCAATGCCGGAGGCAGGGATGCAGGGTCGGACCGAAACTGCCTTCCTGACCTCAATGATTGGCTGACTGCCTCCTGACTGACAGCATGGTAGCTGGCGGCGAAACGTATGGATGAGCAACTGCTCCATGCTGCTGCTTAGGGAAGGTTGACCGAGCATTCCTAGATCAATAGGTTTGATCTTGTAATTAGGGCCCCCAGTCAGTCACCTACCTACCAGGTTCAAGATGTGATGGAAAAATCTTGCAAGATGGTTGGTTGACCTTCTGCAGTACCAGTAATTCAGGCAAGGATTGTTGACATCCTTAAATAAATTTAGCAAAAAATGGCTCTGGCTCCTTGAATCTTTAGTCACAAACGGCTGGCATGGCATGTCTTTCCAGCACAGGTAAATGTGTGAACTGAGCACAAATGTCAGGTCAGGAGGAATGTTTCTGCCTTCACGGCATATCTTGAGCTCTAGAACATGCATGGGATGAGCATTGAGCACCGTTATAGAGTGAGTTTGGACTGCACAAGGGTGCTCTGCCACGAAATTGCAAATTCTACTGCATTTTGCACAATGGTTAGTTGCAATCATTCAGGCCAAATGTGCAGGTAAGCTGAAACTGCAGAAACCCACATCTTGGCAAACATCCTGTAGCAACCATACGCATGTGCTGCTCAGCCACCAGTGGGAACAGAAACACCAGGATTCTTCACAGGGAGATTTAGTGGAGATAGCCAGGCATCTTGATCCGCAGGAACACCATGCTCATGGTGTAGCTGATAACCACCATGGACAGCCCGGTGCCCAGATAAACCAACCGCATGTTCTTCGTTTGCAGCTTGTCGCAAGCCCAGTCGATCAGGACAATCCCAAGGCCTCCCAGCACGAGCATGAATCCGGACGAAAGACCCTCAATAATATACTGCTGGTTAAGTCTTCCCGCCATAATAACCTCGGGAACGAATTTCCCTGTCGCCTCGTCCTGATGGCCGCCGATGCCGGGAGGTTCGACAATAACATCGAAGACGATTCCGGAAACGACGAGGAAATAGCTGAAGATAACGAAGCTGTAGACGACCATAGGATGGGGGAAAGAGAAAGTTGGGAGCTTTAGACGGAGCTTCGGCGGGCGGAGAATGGCGTAGGGAAGGCTGGTCAGGTGGAAGAACGGGTCTAGGGACGCCATGGTGACCAGAGCTAGCAGAAACAGACTAGAGGATCTGAACGAATTTACTCGAGTGAAGTCTAAAATTGGCTTGTTCCTCTCAGAGATGAAACAAGAGGCGACAAGATCGTCTTAGGGTTGCGGAGCATTTCATGATGAGACTTTATTATACATAAAATGTTTTATTTCCATCACAACAAACATTTGATTTTTATTTCACAAACTTGAAAAAAAAACCAGCCCGATCGATTGCAATAGGTTGCACTGCAACCCAAAAAAGGGGGTGGGTGACTTACGGTGTGGCTTACAGAGACCTCGGTTTTCGCAAGACGCAGAAATCAGTACACGAAACGTTGGGTATTGTGAACTTCCATTATAAAATCATTTTGCTATACCTAGAAAAGGCTTACATAGCCAAGAAGGAACACATAACTCCGCATGCAAAACATGTGACCAATTTCTTTTTAGCAATGTTCCAAGAAGGTCAAACCATCATAGATTCGGACGAACGCCTTGCATGGAGTGACCTGGTCAAGGGGATCTTGGATCACCAGAGAAGCTGCTTGGCGAGGGTGCGTTCGGGACATTGAACGTTGAGAGATGGTGGTGATGCTCCGGCCGATGCGATACCTCATAGTCCAGGTGAACGAACGCTCGTTCAATCTCTGGCAGCCGCTCCAGCTTGTTTTGGAGAGCCTCGCCTATATCGTGTGCCTCCTATCACGGGAGGAGAATCAACGTACAAGGGGATGAAGATGTTAACGAGTAAGGCATACCAATGTCCAAAGTATACATTACACCAAAAGGCTCAAGAACGACGAGCGGCACAAGGAAACACTCCCACCATCGTCTACAGTACCTTGAGTGGCATTTCTTCAGGCAGCACGACATCCACTTCAGTGAAGTATGATGCTCCAAAGGTGTACGCTCGGACGGTGTCAATGGCCAGGATCTCCCGGTGGTGGTTCCAGCACAGGTAAGTCAGCTTCTGCAGGAAGGCAGGCGGCGCCGTTCGTCCCGTCAGGGAGCGCACGTTCTCAAGCACGGTGCGGCCCCAGTTGAACATGGTGTAGAGGGCGAGCTGATAAAGGGCGGGAAGGCGGAGGGGGGCAGGAAAAGGGGGGAGAAACGGAGGAAAAGGGCACAGAAAGAGAGGAGAGAAGCAAGAATCACCAAAACATGCGCAGCGAGCTGAGGAAGAACTGTACGTGAGGAGATCGGGAAACAGAGAAAAAGGATTTGGAAGGTGAAGAGGAGGAGAGCCAGGGTTAAGGAGAGCCAGGGTTAAGGAGAGCCAGGGTTAAGGAGAGAAGGGTGGATGAAGAGAAGGGGACGTACGCCGATAGCCCCGACCGGGTCGATCCACCAGGCGTATTCCCCCGCCAGCACTGCTGCTGTGAGCCCCACCGTGTTGGTCACCACGTCCATCATGTGGTCCTGGCATGTGGGGGTGAGGAGTGGAGTGGGGTGGAGTGGCATAAGGGGCATGAACAAGCACACCGCTGCTGCTGTGAGCCCCACCGTGTTGGTCACCACGTCCATCATGTGGTCCTGGCATGTGGGGGCGAGGGGTGAGTCGACTCAAAAGTCACCTCGTTACAATGTCACACAACACTTTTGAGTCGACTCAAAAGGCAGGGCAAATGCATTATGAGAGCCTACCAGAGCGCAGGCTTCCAGCTGAACTGTATCGTCAGAGAAGAGGCGGCAGTAGAGGTGTGATGTGAGGCAGGCAGCATACAGGACATGTGATTTTTTAGTCGACTCAACAATCGAGGCGGAAGTAGAGGTGTGATGTGAGGCAGCATACAGGACATGAAGCCCTGTGCAGCATACCAGCGCATAAGATCAAGCATAAGTCTGAAGCTTGTGCAGTCTTGTGCTCGAGGATACACACTGAAGCTTGTGCAGTCTTGTGCATCCCCCTACCAGAGCGTAGGCTTGCACACTATCGTCGGAGAAGAGGTGGCAGTAGAGGAAGAGGATGGCCTTGGTGCCGCAAGGGGTGTGCGGCACAGTGGGGCATGGGGATGCAAGGGGTGTGCGGCACAGTGGGGCATGGGGATGTAAGGGAGACACGTGCGCCCACCAGAGCGTAGGCTTGCACGATATCGTCGGAGAAGAGGCGGCAGTAGAGGAAGAGGATGGCCTTGGTGAGGATGACAAGACACATGATGCCCACATACACCGGCCACTTCTCAGGCAGGCCGGACTCGTGGTTCTGATGGGCGCACAAGGGGTGTGCCGCGTGTAGCGCAGAGGGGCATGGCACGGGGATGCAGGGGGTGTGAAACGGAAGGCAAGAGAAAAGTTTGTCACATACACCGTTGTGTACAGAAGCATGCCTCACTCCTCCTAGTCCTCCTCACTCGTGCCTCTCATGATGGCACAGGTGACAGGCATTTTTCATGATGGCACAGGTGACAGGCATGCATCACGATGGCACAGGTGACAGGCACGCATCATGATGGCACAGGTGACAGGCATGCATCATGATGGCACAGGTGACAGGCATGCATCATGATGGCACAGGTGGCAGGCATGCATCATGATGGCACAGGTGACAGGCATGCATCATGATGGCACAGGTGACAGGCATGCATCATGATGGCACAGGTGACAGGCATGCATCATGATGGCACAGGTGACAGGCATCCATCATGATGGCACAGGTGACAGCCATGCATCATGATGGCACAGGTGACAGGCATGCATCATGATGGCACAGGTGACAGGCATGCATCATGATGGCACAGGTGACAGGCATGCATCATGATGGCACAGGTGACAGGCATGCATCATGATGGCACAGGGGACAGGCATGCATCATGATGGCACAGGTGACAGCCATGCATCATGATGGCACAGGTGACAGGCATGCATCATGATGGCACAGGTGACAGCCATGCATCATGATGGCACAGGTGACAGGCATGCATCATGATGGCACAGGTGACAGGCATGCAGCAGAAACGGGCCTAGGCCCATTGCGGACAAGCACAACAGATGAGCACAAAGCATACTCACCGAGCCTGTGAACTACTCACCGAGCCTGTGAACTACTCACCGAGCCTGTGAACTACTCACCGAGCCTGTGAACTACTCACCGAGCCTGTGAAATACTCACCGAGCCTGTGAACTACTCACCGAGCCTGTGAACTACTCACCGAGCCTGTGAACTATTCACCGAGCCTGTGAACTACTCACCGAGCCTGTGACCTACTCACCGAACCTGTGAAGAACTCACCAAGCCTGTGAACTACTCACCGAATCTGAGAGCTTCCTGACTCCCTCTAGAAGAATTTGGAAGCCGAGAGACGCCATGATGGACGCAAACACTATGATGCCCTGCACGTGTGGCAAGGGGTGGTGGAGTGCACGGAGGGATGGGGGGAGAGGGGGAGAGGGGAGAGGGGGAGAGGGGGAGAGGGGGAGAGGGGGAGAGGGGGAGAGGGGGAGAGGGGGAGAGGGGAGAGGGGGAGAGGGGAGAGGGGGAGAGGGGGAGAGGGGGAGAGCGGGAGAGGGGGAGAGGGGAGAGGGAGAGGGGGGGGGAGGGGGGTTGTTGGATGGAGGGATGTGGATGGATAGGCAGAGAGACGCGATGATGCAATGATGCGATGATGCACGTGGGGCAGGGCAGTGGAGGAGAGGACGGGGGGATGGATGCATGGGTACTGCCCCTATGGGTACACTGATATGGACGGACGGACAGGCAGCTGTATCAGTGTACGAGCGCGCTGGACGAATGAACGGACGGACGGACGGACGAGTGTATGAGACGAGCTGAAGCCGCAGCCCCTGCCGCCATTCTGTCTCCTTCAATGCTTGCCCCTACACACTCACCACTTGCGGCTGCATCCTTCCCTTACCAATTGAATACTTGTATTGGTGCACGCTGCAGTGTGGGTGCGCGGCGGTGCATGGTGCACTTGAGAACGCACCTAGGAGTCCACACACCCTGTCTTCTCTCCCTGCCTTCTCACCTTGTCTCCTCTCCCTGTCTTCTCACCCTGTCTCCTCCCTCTCATCACAACCATCACATGGTACTGTCTGTCGGCTGTTGAGTCGGAAAGGGTATTTATGCGAATTCTCAAAAATACCCAGCAGTGCATGGTGCAACGGATGCACCCAGGCCAGGAGTCCAACGGTGGCTGGTTTCAATCCTGTCGCACACACTCACTCACCAGCGGCTGCATCCGTCTCTTCCCAATTGGGTACTTGTACGGATTCTTCTTCCGCATGGCCCGCGCCGTGTACCAGAGGATGAACCCGCAGAGCAGGTCCAGGAGCGAGTCCAGCGTGGACGCCATGATGGCCAGGCTGCCGCTGACCACTGAGGCGATGATCTTGACGATAAACAGACACACGTTGGCGCCGTTGGACACCTGCATAGTTTGGATGGAGCCGGGGGGGGGGGAGAAGAGGGGGGGGGGGTCAGTCGATCGAACGTGGTGTGGATGCCATAATGGCCTGGCTGCCGCTCACGACTGAGGCGATGATCTTGATGAGGCACACGTTGGCGCCGTTGGACACCTGCATGGGTGGGGTTGGGTTAACAAGGGGGGGGAGCAGATGGAGAGAGGAATGTTGGAGGCCAGGAAAGGAGACAGGCTGCCTTGAAGCTGGTGGTTGATTCAGCCGACCGAAACAGCTGCAGACAAGGTAAATGGCTTGAGCTCCCATGAAGTAAGTTCCTTCGTGAGAATTTCAAAAATACCAGCTTACTTTTAACAGACCGAAACTGCTGCGGACAAGGTAAAAGGTTTGAGGAGTCATGAAGTAAGCTCGTTCTTGAGAGTTTCAGAAATACCAGCGTAATTTTAACAGACCGAAGATGCTGCGGACAAGGTAAATGGTATGAGGTACCATGAAAAACAAGGCACCCGCCTGCGTCGCCTAAAATCATGCATGATGCTGCTGTACCGTGCAGCGCACCTGCAGGGTGAAGGGTGGGTACTAGGCGCCTGCACTTGTAACCCACATGTACAGACATGTCTGTGGGAATTGGTCTCTCAACTTGTAACGGTAACCCACCTGCACAGCCGTGAATTCGCTGCGATGGAGCCTCTGCGCCTCCCTGACCTCCTGGCAGGGGGGGAGAACGAGGGGGGGGGGGGGGGGGGGGGGGAAGGGGGGAAGGGGGGGAATGAGAAGGACGGGGGAGAACTGCGGGTGAATGGGGGATCCGCTTGTCAGGAGATGTAACGTATTCTAGGAGCTCCTGAGGTAGTGATACGAGCAGATGTAACGCTACGAGCAGATGTGGCGCTACGAGCAGATGTAACGCTACGAGCAGATGTGGCGCTACGAGCAGATGTAACGCTACGAGCAGATGTGGCGCTACGAGCAGATGTAACGCTACGAGCAGATGTGGCGCTACGAGCAGATGTAACGCTACGAGCAGATGTAACGCTACGAGCAGATGTAGCGCTGAAAGCAGAACGTAAAGCTATGGGCAGAGGCAACGTACGCTGGGAGTGGGCGGCAGCAGCTGCTCACTGAGAGCGTCCATCTCGCTAAATCCGTCAATCATCTCGTTCTGCTGCCGGTAGTATCCGTCCACGGGGTTCCGCCCACCCACTGCAGTACAAGGCGCGCAGAAAGAGAGCGGCGGGGAAGGGGGCGGTGAAGAGGAATGAGGCGGACCTGGGAGGACACGTCACACCAGGAGGACACGTCACACTAGGAGGACACGTCATACTAGGAGGACACGTCACTCCAGGAGGACACGTCACACTAGGAGGACACGTCAGACAAGGATCATCTCGTTCTGCTGCCAGTAGTACCCGTCTATGGGTTCCGCCCGCCCTCTATTCACCACAGCGCGCGGAACGAGAGCAGCGGGGAAGGGGGGTCAGCGGGAAGAAAGGGAGAGGAAGGGGGGAGGTGACTTTTGAGTCGACTCAAGAGACACCCTGGAAGTATCCGTCCAGGGGGGCCGCCCGCGGAAGGGGAGAAGCGGGCGCAGAATGGGGAGAAGCGGGGAAGAGAGGGGGGATTGAGGGAAGGACGAGAGGGACGTGGGGAGGATGCTAGCATGGGCGGGAGGATGATGCAAGCATGAGTAGGATGTCGAAGTGTCATGGATTACATGCGCTTTGCGGCGCCACAAAACGTACGCCGCACAAATCGTACGCCGCACGAAACGTACGCCGCACAAAATGTACGCCGCACAAAACGTAAGCCGCACAAAACGTACGCCGCACGAAACGTACGCCGCACAAAACGTACGCCGCACAAAACGTACGCCGCACGAAACGTACGCCGCACAAAACGTACGCCGCACAAAACGTACGTCCCACAAAACGTACGCCGCACAAAACGTACGCCGCAGAAAATGTACGTCGCACAAAACGTACGCCGCACAAATCGTACGCCGTACGAAACGTACGCCGCACAAAATACTCCTCGCATTTTCCATGCTCCTCAAGCTCCCTTGCTACAACTCACGCCTCGGCACTCGTTTCCGCCCGCCGCAGCTGAGATCCTCGCGCCCGCTGACTGCTTGCATGTTGTTCATGCGCCTCGCAGCCATTCATAGCCTGTGATCCATCTACTACGACTCGCCGCCATTCATACTTACATTTTCGTGCTTCTTCTAACCACGACTCACGTTTCAGCATTCGTTTCCGCCCGCTGCAGTTGAGGTCCCTCCGCGCGGGCTCGAACTGGCTCACGACCAGCTGCCGCTCCTCGCGCTCTCTCCCGCAGGCTCCCCGCATTATACGTCCCTCAATCCTAAGTACAACTCACGCTTCAGCATTCGCTTCCGCCCGCCACGGATGTGGCTCACGACCAGCTGCCACTCCTCGCGCTCTCTCCCGCAGGCTTCCCACATTATACATGCCTCAATCCCAAGTACAACTCACGCTTGAGCATTCGCTTCCTCCCCCGGCTTTCGTTGAGGTCTCGCCGCGCCGCCTCGAACTGGCTCACGTCCAGCTGCCACTCCTCGCGCTCCCGCTGGCTGCTCGCGCGGCTCGTCGACTCCAACGGTATTCCGTCGTCAGACGGTTCCGACGCGCTGAGCTCCGCGCCGCCATCCACTGACGATCCCTTGGCAATCAGCGTCGACGCTCCTCCTCCCCCTCCCCCTGCGTCTTCCCCTCCTCCGTCATTCGCGACGCCAGTTTCGGCGGGCTCCACGTCAGCATCATCGGCGAAACGGACTGAGCTCGCCTGCTGGTGCTTTTTCTCCGATGACGTGGCTTGCGTTACGCTGGACGCTGACATGGCTGCGAGCGGATTTTTTACTGTAAAGGACGTGACAGTAGGGGGAGGAATGGTGATTGTAAGGGCGGCTGCTTGAACGAGAGGTGCCGCAGGTGGACTTCCAGTGGCGGTTGGAACTGCGGGGATGGCAGTCGAAGGTTCTGACATCGCGGCTCCTGCCACGTTCGGTGCTCCCGCCGCTGGTCCGCTTGATGTCATTCGGGTTGTTGAGCTAAGATCACAGATTTCTACGGCGGTCTAGTGTCACACCACAGAGCACTGTTGATCTTGTGAAGGATTTCTGTAGCAGGTACAAGGCAGTGAAGGCTTGGTTCAGCAATGGGAGTAGAGTTGTGCTCGTTGATTTCACTCTGAAATTTTATCGCTGAAATCTCCAGTAGAATGAGAGTAACTTGATGCGAGGCTGGAAGAAGTGGAATCGGTAGGCGAAGACCTGCGACCTCGCGAAATCCATATTGAGGACATGCAGACCCAACGTTGCGATTTCGCGAAACCCAATGCGACTGGGGGGTGGAAGGCGCTTACTTCCGCCCTTCCCTGCTTGCCACTTCCCTTCCGTGCGGTTCCATCCATGTACGCGCGACTTGTGTGGTTGGTCCCTCCCCTCCCCCCCCCCCCCCCCCCCCACCCAGTCTTGTGTGGTGAGCGCGTGTGCACAGCGCAAACAGTGAATGCACGCTCGTGCGCGACCGCTTCCCCCACAAGCTTCCTGCATCGATACGCCCTCTGGTCTGGTTGCTGTGCTGGTGTGCCTGCATCCCCCCGCTCCCATCTACCATGTCATCCTGCCAGCCTCGGATGCAGCACAGTGAACTTTCTTCCTGGGCAGATAAAATGAGGCGCAAGAAACCAAAGAAGCACCAATGGGAGGCAGGCATGCCGGATAAATTTTCAGCCGCCTGTCTTGACCAGTCGGAAGTTTTTTTCACAGAACAAGACGCGTCGCAGGTGAGACGTAACAGCGAAGCTGGAAACAGAATCCAAGCTTGTCGCCCAAGCTTTCGCACACCTCGAACCTGCTGCGTGCTGTCGCGTGTGGTTGGCTGCTAGCAACCCCTCCATCAGAATCTTCGTTTAAAACTCAATCGCTGCCATGTAAATCAGCTTTGCCTTTTGCGAGACGGTTATAGAATGTCAGATGGATTGTGGTGGATGTAACAACCAGATGTCTTATGTTATGAATAATAACTGAGAGTGCACGGAAATAATAATCACGAGTACAAGAATGGTAGCCTTGCATTATATAGCGAGAATTCTAGCTAGGCGACGAGCACGGAGGGCTAGGTTGGGCACAGGCGCGGTCGAAAGGGCCGGAGGCGACGCGAGCCAGCCTTGGGGTCGTGTCGGAAGCGGACCGAACCTGGTCTTCCGGAAATTCGGGTTGTACGTAATATTTCGGCGATGAAGGTCGGTGTATCGTCGAGCCATAGTGTTGGACTTCCGAATAAATTCGATCGATTTTTCCCGGGCGGTCTGGAGGTCGTTAACGAATTGCTAGGATTGGGGTACTGGGTTGTCGATGTTGGTCGTTGTGGGAACGGTGGGATCCATCCCGTAGTTGAGGAAAAACGGTGAGTGATTTCTTGTTGCGGATGGGGCATTGTTGTAGGAAAATTCCAGCATGGGCAGGAATTCTTCCCATTGGCGGGGTCGGGGCAGCTAGTGCGTATCAGCTGCTCCATGGTTTGATTGGTTCGCTCTGTCTGCCCGTCGGTTTGTGGATGGTAGGCAGACGAGAATTGTAGGCGGGTGCCGTACTGTTCCCATGTCTCTTGCCAGAACTTGGACGTAAATTTGGGATCGCGGTCACTGATGATCGCCGATGGGAGGCCGTGTAGACGAACAATGGTGGAGATGAAGATTTTAGCAGTTTCTTAGACTGTGATGGTCGTGCGACAGGGTGCGAAATGCGCCATTTTCGTCAAGCGATCGACGATGATGAGGACGGCGTCATTGCCACTTGCACCGGCCGGAAGTCCCATGACGAGGTCCATCGTCACTTGTTGCCACGGCTTCTGGGGTGGCTCGAGCGGTTGCAGCAGTCCTGCTGACCGCTGTCGAGAGGACTTCATGCGCTGGCAGGTCGGGCACGCCAAAACGTATATCTGCACATCAGACGCCGAATCTGGCCAATAATAAAAACGGTGAAGTAACTTTGGGGTTTTGTCAACCCCGAAATGGCCGAAGAAATTAGAGTCGTGGACTTCCTGAATCGGTAATTCGCGAAGGAGACGGTAAGCTGGAACCCAGATACGGTCAGTG